AAACAAACGTCCATTACTAATACGGACAATGTATGGCAACCATTGGCTTAGAACATTAGGCCTTATTTGTCTCACTCAAAAGCTCACATACACACAGTCCACCTAATAGAGGATACAACCAAGCAGCAAAATAAAAGAATCGAGTCGACTGTGTGGCAAAGTAGACCCCGGCGACAACAATAACGCACATCTCATTGCGTTTCTTCACGATGAACCCGCTGCGAAAAAAGAAGGGCAAACACACCTTGGAGTCAGAGTGGAGCTCCAGGTGGGGTTCGTGTCCGTTCTCAGTGGTGGAGGCCTCTGTGATGCTGATCATTGGGGCTGAGGAGACAAAACAAGCAGGAGAGTCATACAAATAGTGGCGCGTTAGCATCTTTGTGGGCGGGCACTGAGGAGACATACAACACAGTCAGCTTTCTTAACCGGCTGGATTGATCCTAAGTGAAACGGGTGTTCGTAGGCACTTTGTTTTGTTCTCTGACTGTACACTAGGTGGCCGCCTTGCTATAAAAATACTGTGGAGATGAAAAAGGCGACACTCTGGCCTTTTTATTTTTGCCTTCCAATACCACATATTTAACCCGGTTAGGAACGGACGAAAACCCATTTCGATCTTTTTTTTTTTTTTTTAATCCTCCATCATCCATCCCAAAAATGGCCGTCTGGACCCTTCCGTCCCAGGAACAGAATGCCCATCTCCGCTATTTGCCCCCATGTTGTTTGTTAATATTAGGCATTATTAACCAATTTCAAGTGTTGAAAATGGCTTGAGAAGAAAGCTCTCTTTGACCCTTGAGCTGTCTGAGAAATGTTGTTAAACTCCGCCTCTACACCAGCATTATATAGCCTAAAAAATGAAAGTCGGGATGTTTTTTTTTTTTTTTTTTTTAGACAGTACCAAGTGTAAGCAGTTAGGTATGATACATTTGCACAAGCATGTTTTGCTCCAAATATATGACTGTCATGCTTCGGTGCAGAAGGAAGTGTGTAACCCACAAAAGGTAGGTGCGTCCACATTCATTTACATTCCTGGACACAATAACAAAAGGGCCAGCCTGGTGGCCCAGTGGTTAGCGCGTCAAACACACAGTGCAGAGGTCGTGGGTTCAATTCCAGCTCCGGCCTCCCTGCGTGGAGTTTGCATGTTCTCCCCTGGCCTGCGTGGGTTTTCTCCGGGTACTCCGGTTTCCTCCCACATTCCAAAAACATGCATGGCAGACTGATTGAACACTCTAAATTGTCCCTAGGTGTGAGTGTGAGCGTGGATGGTTGTTCGTCTCTGTATGCTCTGTGATTGGCTGGCAACGGGTTCAGGGTGTCCCCTGCCTACTGCCGGCTGGAATGGGCTCCAGCACCCCCCGCGACCATTGTGAGGTTAAAGCGGATCGGAAAATGAATGAATAACACTCCGCTAGCCCTTTGGCAAACTATTTAGCAAATAACCACACTAGTAAACTACTGAGATGCACTAGTAACACTAACAGGCCCATCCAATAGGCATGTGTCAATGTCCTACCTATCTACATAAATGGCCATACAGCATTGGGGAGAAAAAGTGTGACTAAACAGCATACTACTACAAGGTTCATGTACTTGGAAACTGGCACTCAAACGCGCAATTTGCTTTCCACGCAGTTGTCATGACCCTCAGTTGTTGATGTGATTGTAGTGGATAAGCTTGTCCAGCTGAGGGCGATGTCACACGTGGCTTGGAAAAGCGACAAGTGTGCCCAAACTGTCAAGCCACACATTAAAAAAAAAAAAAAAAAAAAAAAAACAGGTGTGTGATACTTTCCTAAGATAACTGTAACATTGTAGTGAGGTTTTTCCGACCAAATAACGCCATGGCTGTGCAACGTTTGAATCAAAGAGGAATTTGGTATGGTACACTCGATGCTACATTCATTTCCCTGTCGGGGCCCTCAAAACATTCTGCCTTTTCATCTCAGTCTCTGCATGGCAGGAAGCAGCTGCAGCTATTTCCTGTATCTGGTCAGACGGCGAAAAATGTACTCCTGAACACAACCCAGCCTGGATGTCAGCTGTCGGTGTGGGAGTGTTACCTCCATCTAAACTGCGGCTGATGCGTTTCGACGAGGTGCGCTCGAAAGCGGGAGCGGGCCGATCTATGAGGGTGCTGGCCAGGCGGGTTTGGGTCTGCGTGCGTCCGCTGTAACGGAACTTGGAGCCCAGAGTCAAGAAACGCGGAGTGGTGGGCGGCTCTGGGGCGTTCAGCCTGGAAAATAGAAGGGAGGATGATGGAATTGTCGCTCTTGACATTTGTAGAGAGGCTTTTATTGTTGGGGTTTTTTTTTTTCCCCTACCTGAAGAAGCTGTGGTTCTCGACACAGACTTTCCACAGCCGTTTGGCGGAGCGATGATTTTGGAGTTTGAATCCCACGGTGCTCTCAAATTGCTCCGTCTGTCGGAAATAACAAAACACGTGAAAAACGGGGTCAACAAGTGCACAGTGTAATTGCGTTACTCTATTAGAGTGAACGCGGGTGCCGTAGCATCGCTTTTGTTTTGAGCTCAGCACAGCTTCTGAGTGGATGATAAAGATTAGGGGCTGAATCTTGGCTTGTCACATCGATGATGAGAGAGAGAAATGCCGACTCGTTAGAAGTTGCACCTCACATATAAATGGAGTACTTATATGTGTTGAATAAACACATATGTGTCGCAAGACCGCGAAAAGCAGTTCAGGGACTTTCAACTTGAGCCATGCGGTGAATCAGCGCTGCTCGCAGCACCTCACGTACCTCTCCAGGTCTGATCTTGATGTAGAAGTTGTTCCTCTTGTAGGAAATCTTGAGGATCTTGGGCCAAGCAAAGCGATTTATCCGAAGCCGGTCCTTGAAGACCAAGAGTCCGTTGGCGCACACTCCCAGCATGATGTCCACGCCCTCAGAATCCTGCAATGGGACACATTCAAATCACTGTAGACAGCATAACACCTCGGGTGCATGCACTTGCGGCGAACAACAAGGCGCTCGTGTCACAATTGCGCCATATAATTGCTCATATGAACAAATGCGCTCAAGTTCTGACATTAAAAAAAATAATAAAATAAAAGTCAATGTACAGATACCAGTGTACGTACGCTAAACGTAATTTTATTTGCAGCTGTCTCAACACAAACTTAATTAATCAATGGTAACGTGGTTGGCTGGCAGGCGAGCTCGGTGCAAAGCTTTTAAGTCCGAGTCCATCTGGCAATGGTCAGTGGGGTATTGACTTAACACAAGGGGGGAGGGGGTGTAACCTGTTGCTAATGGGGGTTGCAATAAGTAGATAATGGACACACACACGGGTCACACAAACTTGCCAAAGCTCATCGATCCCTCGCTTTGACTACAGAGTCATTTTTCTATCGGTGACCATCGCAACACAATGTCTGCTGCTTTCAAATATTGACAGTGCAATGCTGCAAAAAAATGAAAAATGAAATGCCCCAATCCATGCTGCTCATGGGAGCATGCCCTTTTTATTCGAAGAGCCCCCGCCTCTTTCGCTCGTCCGAGGGTTCATCCGAGCGACTTGCCCTCCATCTCACATCCTCTCCTTTTCTATTTTAAGCCTGCCATCTCCCTCTCTCATGAATACTTTCCTCTCCTCGGTTTTCCGGCACGGACAAATATCATCGCGACACACATGGGAACGTGCCGTCTGATGCCCCCGCTAGCTCAGTGAGGGAGGTGGGCTTTTCCCATGGCCTTCTCGTAAGTGTTTGCACAGCTGAGACACGCACATCAATGAAGAAAACTGTGGGGGGTGAGGGGGGGGGGTCTTTTTACCTTAGCATGGTGCAAGTCCACCCCGTACATGGACAACTTCTTGGCGTTTTCTAGAAACTGTGTGTCGGCCTGTGCTGGTGTCATTCCCCTGAAGGTCAGAGAAATTTAGCAGTCCGTAACCGCGCCTGTGTATCAAACTTGCTTTTCATCAATGGCTCTTACTTGTGGGACTTGTGTAACTCCAAAATCTTCTCTTCCATCTCTTTGCTCTGATTGGGGGCAAAACTCAGCTGGCTGATGTAATCCAGAGGCCGAGGCTGCTCGGGTTCGTAGTCGCCAAATTCCGCCTGTGGAATCAAACACAAAGACCGCAGACCAGTTGAACTGCTGGTCGCTCACACTTACAACCACACTTAAGGCTGGATTTACACTGCAGGAGCGACTGGCCAATTTTCATTTCATGGTATTTTTCCTTTTTTTTTTTTTGTCTCCAATGAACTGATGCTATATCAGAGTTCACCGTTTTAATGGCTTTGACTGTAGTTCTATTTTATATATATCCATCCATCCATTCATTTTCTGATCTGCTTCATCCTCACAAGGGTCACGGGGCGTGGTGGAGCCTATGCCAGCTGTCTTCGGGCAGTAGGTGGGGGGCACCCTGAACTGGTTGCCAGCCAATCACAGGGCACACAGAGATCAACAACCACCCGCGCTCACGACTAGGGACAATTTAGAGTGCTCCAGTAACCTGCTACGCATGTTTTTGGAATGTGGGAGGAAACTGGAGTACAGGGAGAACATGCAAAATCCACACAGGAAGGCCGGAACCGGAACGAGACCCTGCACCTCTGCACTGTGAAGCCGACACGGTAACCACGCTTATTTTATATATATATATATATATATATAAAAAATTATTATTATTATTATGAACTCATTCAGTACCAGCCAATTCTGGACCAAGTCTGAAAAGACGTTTATAAACGTCTTTGGGAGTGAATGAGTTAATACATATTTACAGTGAAAGTTTTTTTCAATATATGTATTTATTGGTAAAATTTATGCTGCTCTGATGCAGGTCCCACTTGCGCCATTTGAAAACAAAACATTGGAAATGTGTCACTCCATCCGCACCGTACGTCTACTTTGACTTTACCTGCAGTGTGTACGAGCCCAGGAGAGCGTGAGTGACAAACGAGCAAGGCAGGCGACCGGATGCCACGTCTTCGCGGAGCTGAAGACATAACAGGTACCTTGACAAGAGAAACACAGTGAGTTAGAGGAGGGAGGAGGCGGGGGAGGCTGTGCCGCCGGAAGGAGGATTAAATGCCGGTTTGCTTTGTTTGCCGTATGATTTTCGGAGTATGACGATTGGTCGGGGTAACCTCGCTGCTAATCCTCCACGCGGCAGTGCCGAAAAGTCAGTTGCGTAACGTTCGCTAAACTTGCGGACAGTGAATTGTTGTTGTGGATGCTGGCTAGCCTTAAGCGGAGGAATTCATTATCCAAATGGAGGTTTGCGAGTGAGTGACAGAATTCAAACACCACAGGAGGAGTCATCGGCGGGAAGCCGGTCCTGGATCCTGGTTACGAGGGGAAAGTCTTTCAAAAAAGGCAATAAAGCGGCATGGGGGACATTTGCTGACATGGACGCTTAAGTGGCAGTCATCCGCTCGCTCGAGTTCTCTTCAGTGGGCAAACACAGTGCTGCTTTAAACTGCTTTAAGGCCTGGAAAAATGCAAGTTCCTGTTAAGTGAATTCAGAGATTTGTTTCAAACTGCATCAGACGTGTTTGATGATCAAAACAGGAAAAGATTGAAAACTATGAAGAACTCACCATTTAAGTTTTGCAGAATTTTGAGGCGTGGCTAAAACAGGCTAGGGACACACCTCAGACCTCCCTCACGATAAAACAATTTTAGCAAACTTAGCTATGCCCACACCCCGAAAACACCTTTCGGATAGTCCAATGGCATACCCTCATTAGAACGCCTCATTGTTGCCCGTGAGTGTGCGCACATCACAGAAAGAGAAAAGTGACCAAGCGAAAATTGGGCGGGGCGGGGCAGTCGGAGTCCACCTTGACAGCCAGCTTGTGGACTTGAGCTTTAGAGCGCCTCAACGTGGGCTGTGAGTGTGCGCGAGTCAGTGTAAACCCCGAACTGTTTTGTTTACAGGAATGCAGATGTCCGATCCATTTTCACGCAGCGTTAATGTTGAGTCTTCACCTTGTGATGTCTTCGGTGAGTAGCGAGGGATCAGGTGGGTAGAACTTGACGTTGAATGCAAACTGCCAGTTGTTACCTAAAGGACAGATGTGAAAGAGTTGAACAGAGAAAAAAAAAACGGGGCACCATTTGTGGAAATGTGAGATTTCTATGTGATCGGGGTCATCTGCGGCTCCATCCATCGAGCCTCCTACCATCTGTGTGGGTGTGTGACTCGGACACGGGAGAGCGAGGCGGGTTTCGAGCGAGGGGCAAAGAGCAGCTTTTAGATGGCGCTAAGCCGCCGGCATCTCTCACGCAAGCATCAACGCAAACAGATAAACACAAATGAAATGCACGGTATTGTATAACGCTCTGCTGGCTTCATCCAATACCAACGTGTAATCGTCAACAAAGGCACAACTGCTGAAAAACATTTCAGCGCAACTGACCAGCGGCTGCTTTCAATCTGTGTTTATGAACTATTTTCCCAATACGGATGAAGTTTCGGGTCAATAAAGCCCGTTTTGACATTTACCGCTCGCTATGCCAATTTTTCGATGCGCTTGAAAAAAAATTTGCAGTTTCCAAAATAATTCAAGGACATATAAAACCTCCGGATTCCGACGGCAGAGTGTTAACTGACTGTAATTAAGCGCGCGACTGTGTCAAACCTTCCATTTTTGCGCCGCCGAGTTTTACACATGGACGCACCCACACACGGCAACATCTGAAACTACACTCGGTGAACCAAAATGGCATGTTTTCTTTTTTATTTTAAGTCTGTAAAGTATATTCTCTTCAAATAAAAAGTGAGAACTCACTGCGGATTTGTCTCTTGATTTCCTTGGTGGGGTCCAACCAGCACTGCGGGCAAAGACAAAAATGTGTGAGACACTTGGAAGTTACACACTGGGCCTAATTGACAAAAATGTGCGCCAAAACGGACGCAAAGTTGCTTGCTCGCGGAAACTGCTGTGACCGTCTTCGCTATTTCTACACGATTTGAGATTTTAATCAATGGGGCCCACCGCGTGGACACTTTGGCGCGTATTTGTGTGTGCACGGCAAGAGGGAAAGCACCTTCTGTTCGTGGTGGTCCATGTACGTCAGACCAAAGTAGTCCTTCTCCAGCAAATTGAGGTGCTCGCACACCTTGAAGAACAGGAATAGACCCTTGGCTCGTTTCTGTCGTAAGAGAGAAGTCAAGAGATAGAGTAAACACTGAAAAAAAAAAGGACCGATTCACTAATGTGAAAAATAGTGACTAATTTAATCGCACCCCAAAAAAAGAAATCAAAACCAAATGAACGTCCACACAAGTCACACTAACCGTAGACCTTTTCAGTTGATATTCTGTGAATTTCTTATTTTGTTAATATCTGGAAATCTGTTCTCCCAAAAAAAAAAAAAAAAAAAAAAAAAAATCAAAATAAGGAAATAAGGACGATAGATTTACCCTCATTATATCGACAACATTTACGACAGGGGTGTTACACTCATTTTTGGTTCCCTTGGAGGCCCGTGATGACTGAAACTCTATAAAGAAGTCAAGAATAACGTTTTATTCAATTAGTGTTAAATAACTGTAATGGCGGATTTGGTGAGAAGAAAATGCTTCCAATATGTCACTGATTTATTCCATCTGAAAATGTGAAATTTTGGTCCAGATTTTAGCAACCTCGTGGAAGTTGTCATCTTTGATTTGCTTTCGCGGGGCCACTTAAAATGATGTGGCGGACCACATCTGGCCCCCCGGGCCTTGACTTTGACACATTTAAGAAGATGGGACACGTTCTGGTATGTGGCGTTTCACTTCCTGTCCGAGCGTCTGCATCAATGCAGCTCTGTCTCCTCAATATGCGCTGCGGGTCGCATTCCATCGAGTGGATCATAAAATCCTCCACACTGAGCAATGACAATGACATTTAGTCACACATCCACAAAAAATTCGCTCACACACACACACACACACACACACACACACACACACACACACACACGCGCGCACACACACACCCGACATAGAGAAGCACACTAAACAGCTCCCTGTCACACAAATGCTGTAGATAGAAGGTCAGACAGAAAGCAAGCGGGTGGAAAAAAAAAAAAAAAGGACAAAGAATGAAATGCTGAAAAAAAAATGTGTGCGTGTTGACTTGAGGGGCTGCATTCCGGAGAGAGAGACTTTCAAGACGGGCAAGCACGGCGTGCGGAAAGTGGAAGCAATCGGGAATTAAAGTTGCCGTTTCTCTTTTGCTTCCAGCAAGAAAACATTTTCGGTACGTTCTTCCATTCGGTCGGGCGAACGCATCTTCAGGTAGGACGGCGGACGGCTTCCCAAACAACTATGTGAGGCCGCTGCTGTACAACATTTGTCGTTTCCTCTCTGGAATGCGTTGGGCATCTTTCTGCCTCTGCCAGCCTGGCCATGCCATTGGCTGTGTGCGAGTGTGTGTGTGTGTGTGTGTTTAGGACAATAGCAGTTGTTGCAGTCTCAGCATTATCTATTGCAGGACAAACCGCCTTGTGTTCAAATGACACTGGCGCACTGGAAAGCATTTTTTTTTTTTTTTATTATTCAAATCTTTGTCTGGCTATTTGGCTCCTGTTTGTGATTAGCATTATAAAGCGCATGTCCACCCTGACGTCATAAGAATGTACCGTCTGTGCTTCGTAGTAAGCCGCAGATGTAGGTAACTAATCTAGCGGGGGGAATTGGGGGGTTCCCCCCTTGTGTCCCCTCACATAATCCGCTAAATGTGTGTGTTTGTGTCTGCGTGCATGAGTGTGTAAGCGGGTGCTTCACACAGCCCACGCGGCAGCATCAAACTCCAGCTTTGAGTCTGGATTTATCTCGCCGACCCCACCCAAACAACGAGAGTGGCTAAAAGAAGTTTTCCAAACTCTTCCCATGCACTTGTGCACCCACACCCGCAACAGATCCTATTCTCGATTGCATCATTGGCGGAGAGACACTCACGTATGACCGACAACAGAAAACAATCCCACCTCCACCTCGCAGGTGAAGTCCGAGCCGTCCAGGAGGGTGACGTGACACACCACCAGCTTCATCCTGCTCTTCCTCACCAAGCGAAGCGGCGACTGGAAAATGGAGGTCTGGCCTTCGGTTCCCTCCGCTCGCTCCTTCACCTCCGCCTCCTCCTTCTGCTGCTGCTGCTTCTCCGGCAGCTCCTCTTGGGCTCCGCCCTCACCTGCGGCTTTGACGCCCTCGACGCTTTTCTCCTCGACTTTCGTTTCCAAGGCAGGCTGGAAAAAAGAAAGATGGTTGAAAGACCCTCTCCGGCTCTTTCTTCTTGCGTGCGCTTCTGGAAAAGTGCAGGGCGGGCGGCTCTTTTTGGCTGGCCGACTGAGGGGCTGATGTCACAGGGTGGGCCTGGGTGGCTCATTGTGACGACTGGACGGAACAGTGAGCAAGAGGGTGGGCTGAGCGACAAATATGCGCGGAGGAGTTCCAAGACTGATTTGACATCTGTGACAAAAAAAAAAAAAAAAAAAAAAGGTTCCCCATGCCTGGTTTGTGGTCAAAAAAACCTCTGCAAAACAAAATTGCTGGCTGACTCTTATGACACCTTCCCCTTTCGTTTGCTCACCGGCGGTTTTGCTTTTGTTTTTTTTTGGGCTTGTGTTTTTTTACGGCGTGGGATGCTGCAAACTGCGGGCCTCGCGCGGCAATAATTACCAGCACTTCAACCAACAGACATGCTTTTTTTCTTTTCTTTTACACTCTAAAGAAGATCATCGGCATTAATCACCAACCCGTTAAATCGACTTTAAACCTTTCAACATGGATCATCAGTCAAAGTGAATGGCCAACAAACTCAACAAATGTCGTTCTCCGATGTGGAGACATTGCATTAAACGGTTTATCACCTTTTCTCTTTTCCTGACTTTGTTGGAGGAACGCCATCTTAGGCAAGAGAGAGGAAGTGGAACAGACTTGCGTCCAAACCACGCACTCTGTAAACAAACCCGATCGTGGCACAGCCCCTGCATCGCGGCCATCGAGACTCGTGACAGGCTTCAGGCAGTACGTCTCCACCCCAAAACAGTATTTAAATGATTTATTTGACCTCTAGAAGTAGACACAGAAGATATCATGTGATTGCAAAAAGCCCATTTTATACGTCAGAAAAGCAAATGACTTCGGTTACACATTCCCAAACTGTAAGCGGAAAAAAAAAAAAAAAAAAACACTTGCATTTTTGGGACCATAAATCACACTTGTTTTGATAATTTGGTTGGTCAGGCAACTTATACTAAAATCCTTACCTAATTCTTTGGGTGGTTGGCAAACTTTTGGTTTATTACCAGCGGTGGCCAAAAGGTGGTGGTATTGTCAAATGACAAAAAGAAAGTAGAAAAAGAAGAAGAAACATGAGAAGAAAAAAAAATTAGTTGTAGTGGACTTTCGATCTTCAGGCGGCATAATGCAGCACGGTTCCCGCAGAGGTAGAAAAGATGCGGAGTTCGACAACAACTCTCAGACTGACTGAGTTCTTCGCAAGTTATTTTCAACATTTTAAATGGATTAATAACGCGCGAAAAGCCATCCATCCATTTTCTGAGCCGCTCATCCTCACAAGGGTCGGGGGGGCTGGAGCCTATCCCAGCCGTCTTCGGGCAGTAGGCGAGGGACACCTGAACTGGTTGCCAGCCAATTGCAGGGCGCACACAGACGAACAACTGTCCACGCTCACACTCACTCCGAGGGACAATTTTGAGTGTTTAGTCAGCCTGCCACGCGTGTTTTTGGAATGTGGGAGGAAACCGGATTACCCAGAGAAAACCCACGCAGGCCCGGGGAGAACATGCAAACTCCACACAGGAACGCCGGAGCCGGGATCGAATCCACGACCTCTGCACTGAGGTCGACGCGCTAACCACTGGATTACCGGGTCGCCCAGCAACAGTATTGATTTTGAAAAAATATGAACGTGACCAAATTTGGACATAAGCGCTTTCTGCCTCACGATCACGATATGCAAGCCATCAAGTTACCTCCGTGTCTGCGCTAGCGTTGGAATGGGACTCGGTTTCCTTTTCTTCTACTTGCTCCTGGACCGGACTACTGAGCGCCTCGTTCTCTTCCACTTCCTCTGGGTGTCCATTCACTTCTGGGACCTCCTCCTGGTTGCTTGCCTCCTCTGGTGACGGCACCTCCTTGGTCGGGGAGGTCTGGACAAACCATGGTGTTTATTTGGAAGTTCCAAACAGCAGGGCTGGGTAATAGTATGACGGGAGCAATCCGTGTGGATGTACCTGGCTTTGAGATTTCTGCTTCTTAAACCATGTGGGAAGGTAGCGCGATATCCCCTTGCCCTCTTTCTCCTTCTGCCTCTCCGCCTCTCCCTCGGTGGCGGCCACTTCCTGACTCTCGCTGGTGTCCTTCTCCGATTGGCTGAGCCGGGCGGGTGATTTCTCCGCCTTCTCCTTCACCTCCGTCTCCGAGCCTGCCTCTGTTGTCATGGCGACACGTCACGACCTGCCCGGGGGCAGAATTGGTTGATGAGGATAGATGATGTAATAATGTTGAACATAAAGTCATCATGCTGATAATTAAATCGATCCAATGAATTTGTAGACGCAGCATATATGTGCATGCGTATCCCTTTTATTGACAGTATGCTTTCGCGACTCGAAGATCATTATATTCGTCAGTACAGTACAGCTGAGATTTCATTGAAAAAAATATATTTTTATAAGTATGCAGTTCATTCCACCATATTGTCAAAAAAAAAAAAAAACATCTCAGTGATGTAGTTAGTAGTCCACACCACTGAGAGTAGTTTTAAGGTATCAGCATGCATTTTTTACCGCGCCCCATCTCAGATTTGAATTTGCAGAAAATCATCTTTTATAAATGAGCCCCCCCACATTGCAGCCGAATGCTTTCAGGCCTATTCGTCTCTTTTCACTGAGTCACGAAGGCATTCAAGTAACATGGGGAGAAAATACAGTCAGAAACATTTGGCTTTGGAAAGAACTCAACCTTTGGCTCACGTCACAACCACTTCCACATTAAATTGGAATTGTTGCGTAAGCATAACACAGCAAATTCCTGAAAATTCAACCTCCTGGGTTTTTTTTGTTTTTTTTTCTTCTTAACCCCGCTGCTGCGGCTAACGCAACCACACTTATCAACCGAAATATCTCTGGCGGTGCTGTCTTGTGACACATTTGGACAGTCCGTCCACAAGCTCGCTGTTCTTAAAAGCTGTGTAAGAGGGCACAGAAGGGCTAAATGTGATGATAAGCAGACAGCGGCTGGCAGTGAATGAGTGCGCCTGGAGGGTAGGTAACGCTATTAATGATGGCCACAGATTGAACCAGGAGCAGATTATTTCTATTTCCATTATTTCCCATTGCAAGGCGAGGGCAGGGAGGGGGCGAGGGGGCATGGAACGTCACGGAACGGATTGTGTTTGACTTGCACTGCATGATTATGCGTGTGCGTGACCATGTGTACAAACAAACGGCTTCGGGCCGAGGATTAAAACGTGATTCATTTCCGATTAAGGCATTGTCATCGCCCAGTGTCCTTTCAAAGTGTTCTCTAAATCTTAACGAGCGCACACGGCTTTCAGAACTCTCCTTTGTCACCTTCCTGCCATCTTGACCGTCTTTTTTTTTTTTTTTTTTCCCCTGCCAGCGCAGCAGCATCAATGTGAAGCAGTGGGGAGGACACGGGAATAAAAATAGAACAGGTCTCCTTACGCACGGTCAGCTCATGAAGGGAGGGGAAGATGGATGGATGGATGGATGGATGGATGGATGGATGGAGAAGGGAGGCGCGTGTACTATAAGTGCCTGCATGTGCAAGCCTGCTGTTGATAAGGGGGGCAGAAGATAAATAATGTAGATGCGTCCAAGAAGATAGTTAACAGTTTCACTTCAACTAGGCCTGAACCATTTTGAAGCACAATCGAGATTGCTCCTCCCGCCCCCCACCACTCAATATTGCGATTGGGATGTTTTTTTTTTCCAACATCTTCTTCCCATGTATGATTTTTAACAAACGTGAGCAATAAATGAATCTGGGCAGCCCGATGGTTGACTGGTGGAGTTTGTATCTTCTCCCCATGCCTGTGTGGGTTTTCTCCGGGTATTCCAGTTTCCTCCCACATTCCCAAAAACATGCATGGCAGGTTATTGGAACATTCTATATTGTCCCTAGGTGTGAGTGTGGGTGTTTGTTTGTCTATGTGTGCCCTGTGATTGGCTGGCAACCGGTTCAGGGTGTCCCCCGCCTACTGCCCGAAGACGGCAGGGATAGGCTCCAGCACCCTCCGCGACCCTTGTGACGATGAGCGGCTCAGAAAATGGATGGATGGATTGATGATCGAACGATATGTTTTTTTTTTCAGGGCCAATGCCATTCACGACATGGACTATTCGGAATCGTGTAGGCCAGGGGTGTCAAACTCATTTTTTGTCGCGGGCCACTTTGGAGTTACGTCTTCCCTCAGAGGGCCGGTGCAAAATCTCAACGTCATTTATTACCCATTCCAATTTAACATTTTGGTACAGATTTCAGCAAGAATCATGATAGTTAAAACACGATTTGCTCCCGCGGGCCACATAAAATGATGTGGTGAGGGGCCGGATCTGGCCCCCGGGCCTTGACTTTGACACCGGTGATGTAGGCCGATAACCAATATTTAGAGCCGATATGAATTTACGACCCCTGCATACTCGCAGTTCAGCATCGGTGTGCGTCTTTGTTTTTGCAAGATGTCGTCGTTCGCGGCCATTTTACTGCTGGACTAATTTTAAAAGAGCGGCGACCTTGTTCCACCCTCTCGTAATTTTGTTGCTCTCTCTCTCTTTCTCTCTGGGTGCCTCTTTCTCTTTTTTTCCCCCAGCTGCACTCATCTCCCTGTGCTCACAATCCCTCTCTTCCGGGCTCTCTTTTCAGTCCCCATCCAATGGGTCCCTCGCATTATCTTGCCCCCCGTTCCGGGTTCACTCATCTTCCCACAGTCTGTATAAACAATGGCGGTGACACTATTACGGCCTCTCGGCATACACGCAACGCATGGACATGCGGAGTGTTTTATGGCGGGAGATTGCGATCTGAGCAGGGCGAGCAGACCGCAAAGTTTGTACGCGGATGGTGACGGCATCTGTTTGAGTGAGAACGAGCTGGCAATTTCACAGCCAATTCGCACTGTTAATGGAGGCTCAATGTGCAAAGTGAAAAAAAAAAAAACAAAACATGGTGCCGCAAATCTCGTAAGACCTCGCAAGGTGTTGAGAAGAGGTCAGCTATCATAAGATCATTTTATAGTTTTTCTTAAGTACGTTTTAAAATATTTATTTTGCTTGATCCTTTCACTGCCAGCCGTTTCCAAAGCAGAGGTCCACATATTCCCAGATGGTTTTTGAGCATTCTAAAGGAGCTTTTAAAATTCACAGAATATTGCGTGCTCTGACAAAGTAAGCACCAAAACAATGAGTAGACTCACTCCTTTTGCCGGCAAACAGAAAAGCTTGTTGCTATCTTTTTTCGTTCTTATGTGAGAAGCATTAACACCGGTTTCCGACCCAAAAGCGGAAAAAATGAGTTTGTGTTTGTGACACCTCAAACTATAAAACAACAAAAGTGACGTTAATGGCTTTTTTTTTTTTTTTTTAACATGAAGATTGTCATTTACATTTTAAAAAATGTGCATGAGCTGAGGCGCGTGTTAAGGTACGCTTCTTCTTACACTTGCATGCCAGTGAAGAATTTCGAAACATCGGACATCATTGAACCCCAAATTAACGATGGTTCCGGATACCAGAGCTTCAATGTAGCAGCTTGACTAAATCACCACCGTTTAACGACAAAACATTCTTCAAAAAGAGCTACGGTCCTCACGCATGCTTACCTACTGTTGCTTTTCTTTCCCCTTGTAAGCAAGCTCCTGTCCTCCTTTTAGCCTCTTGCCTTTCCCCCCCCCCCGCGCCCCACTTCTTTTTTTGTCTTTTTTTGTTTTGCTCGCTTTCTAAAAGCGCTTCTTATTCCTCCCTGCAGTCTTGTCTACTTTGGTCTCCCACCTACAAAGCTGTCAGTGCCATTTTCCTCTCCCTCATCCCGTCGGCTCTCCCGCGGAGCTGAGCGCCTGCCTCCCGCGGGACTTTCACCCGCGGAAACGAGGGCAGAAAATGACGAGAGAGAGAGAGAGAGAGAGAGAGAGAGAGAGAGAGAGAGAGAGAGAGAGAGAGGAGGGGAGTCAGAGAGAGGCGAAAAGGGGGGAGGGAGAGAGAGAGAGAGAGCAAGAGAGTGAGCATGTCTTCTAATAGACTGTCACTTCAGCTCCAATGCGCCTATTCCAGTTTGCAGTTCAGTTAAGGGAGTGTTTTCCCCAATTTAGCTTTTTCACTTGTTTACTAATCAGCATTAGAAGACAGGTACCGGTTTTTGACCAAAAAGCGGAAAAAATATATATTTTTGTGGGGGAGGGAAATAACATGTAAAGCAAAATACAGCACCGATTAATGCATTTTTTTTTTGCTTTTTTTTTAAAGCAGCAAAACAAGCCTGAGGACGGAAGAGCTTTTGATGAGACAATTATTGATTTTTATTTATTATTTAAAAACGCCTTCAGCAACGCTGACTCACCTCATGGCTTGACGAAACGTACAAACACCAACAGTTTGATATTCAAAAGTTCGAACTAAGATCACCTTTAAAGTGTATTTTGGTTGAGCAAGGGATGGATTTTTTTTAGGCGGATGTGGATATTCTAATATTTGGCAGCGAAACCTCCGATTAAGTTAAAAAAATATAAAGAATAAAATGACTTACTTTCTGGTCCCTGAAATATATGAACTACAGGCAGAACAGTTGACAGTTTCACAATACTTTGTCCTTTAGCATTTTTTTTCCCATTTTGCAACAGAAAGAAAAATCTGCAAAAATTGGTGCTTTTTTTTTTTGCCAATTCTTTTTTGAGGGCAATGTTTGAATGTCACTCTCTTTGTCTTGTGTTGTAATGTGTTAATGTGTTAAGAATAATAATAAGAAGAAGAAGAACGAATCGGCCGGCTAATTTTAGGTGCATCCTGAAATCTCACCCAAATATCATTCACTTTTTTGGTTTTGTGGTTTACGTACAAATATTCAGACATTTTCACTACGATACATACACTTGCCAAAACTGCGGAGTTTTCAAAAAGGTATTTCACTCACGAAAAATAAACACCGCGATTACAAGAATGAGCCATTCTTACCACTGATGTCTCTCAGACAATAAGGCCAGCCCCCAAACATGCTTACAGACCCACCCACTCACATACTTACAACTTTTCGACTGTCTGTCTGGATTTAAGGGGTCGTCGGCATGGCGATGACTGCCTGAACCCTCAGATGTACAATTTTATGGGAAACGTAAACTAGAGCGGGGCCGTGACAAAGACGTCAAGACTGCTTTCATTTGTGGCCTCCCCCGCCCCAGTTATTTGGCTCCGCATGTGTGACAAAATCCAATAAAGACAGGTATAGAAAAAGCCGACCCGTCCCTTTGCGTCCACGCATGCGGCAGTGTCGGGGCCGAAAGGGAGGACGGGTCACCACGGCAACAGCATTCATGGACACTAAGCATAAATCCCCATGGAGACAAGAGATTACTGCAGAAAAAATAAAGATTATTGAGCAGGCGTACAAGTGACAAAAGAGATTATGGTCATGCCTAAACCTCCGTTTCAGAGCAGATTTTACAGCCGGCTGATGTTACACACCGGAACCTACAGGAAGTGCTCCTTCCCTTTCTTTATGCCTTTTTTTTGTTTTTATGATCCAAAACTGAGGTCTGCCAACACTCAAATCCTCAACTGCAGATAAAACAACCTGGAGGGATCATCCTCAAAACCATCACTCATTCAATCCATGAACAATTTGTCTTACATTGAATGTATTTGCACTGTAAAAAAGTTGATCATCTCGCACACATGCTGGCCAGTGTGAAAACACGGCCGGTCCTGCCACACTGCGCACTGATTCTCAAATTGAGGATTACACAAGGGGATAATCTGTGAGTGTATGTTTCCGTCTGTCGGCGTGTCCTGTCCGTCAGTCCCTTCGGGCCTGCATCTCTTTCTGTCGCATGCGCTGGTCACTTTGTTCCTCAACAACATTCATTCCGAACAAGAATTCAAAGATCATATCTTGCCGTGAATTTGCAATCGGGTAATTAGATGTAGCGGCAGCTCACTGAGAAATGTGTAAGTGTTGAAACGATGTCAGCCTCCACTCACGTTTGCCCAAATCTCTCTTTGGATGTGTGAGTGAGAAGAATGGCTGGGCTCATATGTGCCATTGTTGCCCGCTAAACTCTCCCATTCAGCGATTAGTGAGGTGAGGCGCGAGCACCGTCTGTGAGAACGTGCGAGTGAGCCGGGGATGGGCGGAACCCGCGAGGGGGAGATGAAGGGAGTTTCGCTGCGCGCGCCAGAGGAACTGAAGAACAAATATTAGCTGCTAGGAAAAACTCGTGATGAAACCGCAAACAGTAGACGACACACAAGAGTCTCCAGTCGGTAACTCCTGGGTGTGGCGTCGCTATGGAGACCTACATCCCATAGAAGGTGGTGGCAACAAGTGCCAAATAACGGACTTGGCTGGCGGACAGAGAAGGGAAACAAGATACAGGTGGAGGACAAGACAATCCTCCATTTCAAGCTGAAACTGAAAGCTTGGAAATGACTACGAAAACTACTACACGACATGACATACTAGTGAGAGGCCATGCTAGGCCTGGGCGGTTAGCGGTTTCAAGTGTGAGGAAAGCGTGCTCGTATTAGCCATCACGCTGAGATAAATTCAAGCTAACGTTGAGGAAAGCGTGCTTGTATTAGCCACCACGTTGAGATAAATTCAAGCTAACGTTGCTAAATTACTTATGGAAATGAACTTTTACAACCGTCTACCAGAGTGTGCGTGTCCAAGATTTTTTATGGAAATATTATGGACCCGCTGCCGAGGCCGATGACTAGCTAACAAGCTAACTAGCATGGCTAACGTCAGTCGGCTTCGACTCTGACGTGACTTTACAAAGCAGAGAAGAGCATAGAAGTTAACTACTCATTCTCTTGAATTACGGTTGTGATACATTTTCATTTTGTGATAAATATTGACTTCTTTTCTTTTGGCTTTTACGAATCAATTTTTAAAAAAAAGTTGTTACTTCCACACACGTTTTCAAAAATACACACACAAGCGCAACAACACCCTTGCTCACATTTTCCACACCTAATGCCGACATTAAAACACGACGAATAAAGCGGGAGACAAATACGCTTATCCATCCGCGCAGTCAGTGTGCGTTCAAACCAGTGCACAATATTACCACTTGTCTCGCGTCCCTCCCCATCAAGTGGCCTTTCAAAGCACGACGAGGGCTGCATCTCGCTGTGACCTCTTGTTCAGTCCCTCTCTGTGAGAATGTGACCCGATGCTGATTAATCTGTTTTTAACCATGTTTGGACCTCTGCCAAAGCCACAGGCCCACTCTCTCTTTTTTTTTTCTTTTTTTCTGGTATTCATTCCATCGTTGCCTCCAGTCAGACACTCGCTGGAGGAAGTCAGTTTGCTCTCTTCTAAAGTGGTCTGTTGTTGGGTTTAATAGAGCTATTCAACGAGCAAACAATTACACCCTACTAATCCTTGTGGTTTAAAAAGAAAAAAAAAACCACTTAAAAGGGTGTAAGCCACAGTCCGCCCCACATATCGGTTTTATTGACTCTGCTTTTGCCATCAATCTGAACCTCTTCCCTTTGCCCCATTCCTTCCCACGTGTTTTTTATAGCTCCATCACTTGACGCCCCCTCTACTTGTCTCCGTGGAGGTGGAAACGAAATGAACATTGCATTACGGCGTCCTTTCATCCGCACCTCTCTGATCTTGCCTTGTCCGATTTGGATTCCCGCAGTGCCCGTCGGCGCGGAAGGCTTTGAAAGGGCCGCCGAGCGGTCACAGCCCCACCGCTTAACCTCACAATATGTCCACTTCGCCGGAGATGACAGAGTTTACTTGCGATTTCGAAGTACAAAAGCAACAAGGCATAAAAACATACCTTTTAAAGTTTTCGCGTGGGCTAGATATTCACGAGGTAAACTTGCAATTGCTCTGGCTCTTTTGTGACGACCATGGAACCACAACCAGAAAGTCAGCCATTATGGTGTGATGCAGCCATTTTGGGCATATTGCAAGACTTTTCTTTTTTTTTTTGTATTTTGATGAAATCTCAGGATGGAATTAATCAAAATGGGCCACAATCAGAAGCAGACATCCAAGGGTCCGAGGGTCCAATTGTCACCGCTTGCAGATGTAATGCCTGGAATTGCTTATGAAATGCCACGAAACGACAGTCAGGAATGTCACACCGAGCTTTGTGTGACTCAATGTGTTCCCGTTGAACCCATGGGGTCAAACACACACACACACACACACACACACACACACACACACACACACACACACACACACACACACACCAAGGATGTTCCCATAGCCTTTTCCGAATGGTTAAGCAATATCTGTCACTCTCTCCTTCCATATAACAGCTACCATCTCACTTCCTGCCTCCCTGACATCCCTTTGCACTTCCTCGCCTTCGCTATTTTCGTCTTCCTCGTTTCTCCGAAACTCACCCCTCTCCTGATGGTGGAGGCTAGTACTAGCCAAACGCAAAACTTAATAAACACCAGGGTACCACTTACTGGTTGGTCATTATTACCGATAGTATCCCTGGAATATTGTTTAAAAAAACGCAAACACTTGTTTCAAGCGAAAGCTCCTTTTAATGAGCGGAGGAATCTCTCGGCAGAGCTAGCAATTAAGGACTCTCATTAGCGAGTGAGACAGAGCCGCCACTGTTCCGTTAACATGACAGTTATAGATGAACTATACACGCACGCACGCACGCACACACACACACACACATTAGCGAGTGGGACAGAGCCGCCACTGTTCCGTGAACATGACAGTTATAGATGAACTATACACACACGCACACGCACACACACACACAATGAGGCTGTGAGATGAGTCATCCTGATCGCTTTTTCTGCATGTGACCGACACACACGTAAACAACACAACAGGTGAAACGGTACATGCGTCGATTTTTGACATTGTCACCATTTTTTTGTAAATGTGAAAGAATCCACACGAGGAAAAAAAATACCCACGAAAGATTGTTTATAAATGTTTTTAAACAGTAGACTTCTGAATATTCGCAGGTGGCAGAAAAATGCCGCTTGCCTGAACTGAAATGAAAATCTTGCTGTTGCCCTTCAAAAAGGACAGAGCGGCACAGCCACAAATGCTTGACTTGTTTCATGTCTCCTCCTCCTCAATGACAAAGCCACATTGCCGACCTGCAGCCTCCTTCATGTTCAAACCAGCAGGAAAAGGCACCAGGCTACTTTGTGTTGCGTTGCTTAGCAACCAATGCTGCGTCACCATCATCCCTACCTCGCAGGCGGTGCCTCAAAAACCAAGTACAGTGTCTAAGTGACTTTCGTGTTAGGCATTGAACTCAAAACGTGTTTGGTTATGAATTAGAGAAGGGTTAGGATTAGCAATCATGACAAGAGTTAAATAATTTTAAAAAACTAGAATGTGGGAGTCTTGAAGCATTGTCAGAATTTTAAAAAACTAGAATGTGGGAGTCTTGAAGCAGGGTTTTATAAAATGCTTTATACTTTTTTTTAATATTGCACAACTATTTTTTGGTCTTAACACCTGTGATGTCTTTTGATTTTCCCGTTTAAGAGGACAGCGCACACAAGTTAGGGAATTCAGAACTTCATTTCCCACATGCCCTTGCGATCATACACGTTCAGCACGGCGAGGAACCTTAAAACAGCTTCGGGCCAAAAGTCTACAGCTATTCCATAAACAGGAAAGACTCCACACACATGCTTAGAAGTGAAAAAGTATTAAAAAAATAATTCGTTTTAAAACGCAAAAGCTCCAATAACGACAGACTTATCTACGGCTTGTCCCGAAAGCGGGACGGATGAATGGTCCCTGCAGACACTGGGGGAGTTACAGAGGCGGATGTTTGACGACACGAGAGAGGGGCCGACAGCCAGCGGTAACGCAACCGACATGTCCAAGCGTAACGCAACAGGGGAAACATAGTTGAAAAATAGCCCTTTTAACCAATGTTACGGCGACATGGGCACGAAATATTACCGTCGATGCTAGTAAGCACGTTTCAGCGTGGGTAGTTGAGGTGAGCACGATAGAAAGCCCACCCCCTTAAAAAAAAACCCACTAAATCATAAATAATTCTAAATCATTAGTAACGTTTGAACGATTGCTAAAGCATGTAGCGTGCTTACAGATGCTGCATAAACACCCAAGACCGTTTCATTGAGTCGACGGTGACTCATCACGTGATTTAAATGGGAGCCCAAAAACAAACAATACCTTTTTTTAAATCCCAGTTGAAATATATGTAGACCGTCCAAATGAGTCCTGACCTCTCGGCGTGTCTCCCCCCTCAATAATTAATTCCAGTATTGCGAGCCTCCTTCAAACAAAAATCTCCAGCGGACGAGTCCTCAGTCCTCACAGAAAATCTGGCTCAGGCGCAGAGACAAGGCGTGTCAATCATCCTCAAGTCCCGCCTTATTGTGAAAAAAATGGCCCGTTTCTCTTCGCCATTTGTCGAAGTGGGTGACTGTTTTGGGTTCTACGACGTGATTGGTCAATCACATTGGAGGGAGCGTTGAACGCGGATGTGGAGTTGCGAATGTGGCGCTCTAGCACCCTCTAACGGGGGTGATTAGTCACTACAACGTGTTGACGAGTATTGCACAACATAGCCTACTGATCCTCGGTTTACAACGACGACGTGCAGCAAGACGATTTTTTTTAAGTCAGAAGGCGTCGTTGTCTGTCACAACGTCCCAGTAGTAAATAATTGCACTTTTTAGGAAAAAAATACACACACAATTACAACCGACATCTACTGATCCTCGGTTTACGACGACGACGTACAGCAAGACATTTTTTTAAAGTCAGAAGGCGTCGTTGTCTGTCACAACGTCCCAGTAGTAAATAATTGCACTTTTTAGGAAAAAAATACACACACAGTTACAACCGACCAAGGAAGTCAACCATACTGTTACGGATGGATGGTAGTTAATTTTGTGACTTAATCTGTTGCAGCCCCACGAAAAAAACATTTGGTTTTAAATGTCTAAATTTATATTACTATTGAAACAAATATAATGAAAGAGAACGTGAAGAAATAAACTGGATTTTACATTGTAATGACTGTATAAACTGAGCACTGTATGAGTCTGTTGTCTGTGGTGTGTCTTTAAGGGGCGTGGTCTATTACATTTGGTTTTAAATGTCTAACATTATAATGACTATTGAAACAAATATAATGAAAGAGAACGTTAAGAAATAAACTGGATTTTACGCTGTAATGACTGTATAAACACTGTATGATTCTTTTGTCTGTGGTGTGTCTTTAAGGGGCGTGGTCTAGTGAGCAGTGGCGTCCAAGATGGGTGCGGGACAGGGCGGCATCCACCTCAGGGGGTGCATCCACAGCCCCACCATCGCAGGAAAAAAATTCAAAAGCCAACAAAATGTCTCACTGGGCAACACAAACGCATGTTGGCAAATTTTGGTAATTGTACCATCAAAAGGCCGAGCATCACCTTTTTTTTTTGTTTGTTTCTGTGTGTGTGTGTGTGTGTGTGTGTGTGTGTGTGTGTGTGCGTGTGTCCCTTCTTCCTCTCTCACTCACGTACCTCACATGTACCCACATCCAGATTACAGGAGCTCATGTAATTGGCTTATAGTGGAAGGCAAGTTTACATCCACGAAAGATGAGAAAACAAACAAATAAAAAGACTATGTCACTATTACCAGTATAAGAAAATGCATTTGATCAGCCGCAATGAAGAACTGCAATCATTTTCCACATTTATCGTATTAGACATATAAAAACAACAATTTCTTTTTTTTTTTTTCTTGGAGTGAACTCACCATTTGTCGAGCAGCATGGATCCAATAAGAGTACACATGCAAGCATAAGGGAGAGAAAGGGACAGAAAATCAGACATCAGTAGGTTTAAATGTAAAAAACAAAAAGTGACTCGGGTCCAATGTTTGGTGTGAAATGCAGGTTTAGCAATTACGTTTTGGGTCTAGAGTTAAGTGCTTAGGAATTGGTTAGCGATTGGAGTTGTTAGGATCTCTGATGAAGCACAAAAAGCTACATTTGTTTACCAACGCTCCACTTGGTGCACATTTGAGTTCTCAAATAGACACACGCTGCGGTGACTCCTAAAATATATAGACGTCAGCAAATTATACCCCTGGGGCTTTTTTACTATTTCTCGACAAAACATACCTGCTTGTCAGAGATCCCACACAGCAAAAATAGTTCCCACACAGAGATTAAGACCCAGCACCTTAGAAACTTGACTTGATCTGAGGGCAGACCAACCCACCTCTTGTCCTTTTTGATCGGCCCGTACGACAACACCCGGGGCATTCGGTAAAATGACAAGGTTTCTACTGCAATCGACACCCAAACTTCTCCCTCCGAGCCAGGGAAGCTCCCTCCAGTCATGCAGGCACCAGATCAAGACGGCGCATTTTCTCTCGAAGGGGGATTAACGTTGTGTTCTCCTGCGGGGCATTACCCGGACGCTGCCATCTGGACAGCCAAACATCGGCCAGTCTCGTCCGAGTACAGCCATCTCTAGAGGAACGGGCGTTTGCCGCTTGGCCCTCCTCTGAGGAATTTGGTTCTTTTGGAAGGCTTTAAAAGGCCGTAAATGTGACAACAAACAGAATGGATTGGCTTAAGATGGATGATGCGCTGATGATGCTGAGACATTCTGGTGCCTCAAGCTGCCAGTTTGCACGAAAGAGGCTGTTCGGTGGGGATTTTACTCAGCTCACTCCACAATAAGTAGTAATTTGGCAGATAGTGAACAATTCCTCAAAAATGAGGGTCAAACTAAACATAAAACAAAGAGAATTACATGTTGTCTTTTAAAAACATCCAAACAGCTTTGATACATAGCTCCTGTTAGTTTAACATCTAATACAATAGGCCATTGTTGGCCTAACCATTGGCATCTATAGTTGTGGTATTATAACCCTTTAAGCAACTTCTGCTTGAACACAAACTGTGGAGCAACACATATAGACAGATAATACTCCACAACAATCACTCTTTACCCTAGAAAATAGGGGGACGACGTCAACCAAATTGAGCATCGGAAGTCATGACAAGGACCCGATAGATATGGATTTTTTTTAAGATGATGCCTAGTCCGTTACGTGGTAGAATTAATCGACCGATTAGTTAAGAAAACGGGGGGAAGTTGAGCTACTCGTCTTAAAATGAATGTCATTCTCAAATCGTTAATGCCATCATTTTGTGTAATCCCTTCAATTAAATCTGAAAATCTACACTTCAATCACACATTGATTGTTGAATTTTTTTTCCAGATCTCATTGTGATGGATTTAAAATTGCAAAAATCTTAAATCGTTGTTTTACCTGCCAACAGGTGCACCAGCGATGACTGTGGAGTACCTTGCAGGGTGTTTTCTGTGTGTGTGTGTGTGTGTGTGTGTGTGTGTGTGTGTGTGTGTGTGTGTGTGTGTGTGTGTGTCTGTGAGTGCGTGTGTGGGTGTGTGTCTTTGTGTATGTGTGTGTTTGTGTGTGTGGAACAAGATGCTGTACAAATACAATAACACTGCTGTTTTCCGCAGCGCGCACCTGTTTGCTCAAGGTCAAGTTGAGTACCGTCTCACGCCTTTTTTGTGTGTGCAGGTAACTCTAGACGTGAGTATCAGGTGACGCGTAAGACTGAAGAAGGCAAAAAATGCAAAGAAAAGAAAAACACCCATTAATGTAAAGACAGACAAATACAGCGTAGTAAAAAACCTTGAAAGTCTCATTTTATATAACTGGTGATTTTTAAATTAATTCAAATATGGCAGGGTTGTGAATAACACTCTTTTGTGTGGTGTGTCAAAGTCAGAAGACATTTATTTTCACATTACAGGGATTTTAATTCAGAAATTATGAAGCAATTCCGAAAAACCTTGAAAATGATTAATGAATTTCTATAATATGAGTTTCACTTTTAAATGAAATTATTCGTTTTATTTTTTCTACAATTGTGGTTTTCGACGTGCGGAAATAATATCGACACCGTTACAGTATTTAGACATTTACACACTGGCCACTAGATGGCAGCAGTGACTAATTGCAGATCGAGCTCCTCCAGGCGCCCAAATCGAACTTTTGTCATGTTGTGTAGATTTACTTCTTATATATTAAATTGCGTCCATACAAGCCTCTGGTTTGCATGTTTTCCCCCCCTTTACCTCCAAGGAGTTTGCGATAATTTATAATGTGAGCACTTGGAAGACAACATCGACCCAAATTGGACCATAAAAATATTTGATTTTTAAAATTTTGTACGGGGAAAAGTCATTTTAAACAAATGCTAGTAATGTTTCAACACACAAGTCTCCATTTGGACATCTGTGTAGGTGCAAAACTAGTTTAAAAAGGAAGGATTTGCTTTTACCACAATGTCAAGAGTGGAGTTGGAGATGACGACATAAAAACTGTTACGTGTTGAGTATTTTAGCAGTTCCCCCTTTTTTTTTTCCCAAGGCAACTTTTCACATCAGGTTTCACTTCGGAAACAGCGTAACACAGCCACTTCCTCCATTTGGAGTGCTAAAGTAAAAGTAAAATTCAAGTTACGTTACCCACAACAAAAACAGGTTGTCAAAAATATAACTCGTAAAATAAACACATAATTTGTATTTTTTTTAAACGGTAATTTAAGTTTGAATAACTTAAAAAATATGAATGACTGACATTTAAGGGAACAATGATAGCGCGACAAAAAAAGCAAGTTTGCTCCAAAATAAATTGCGTTTCTTTAAACATTTACTTGAACTACCCGCCTTCAAATTTTAATCCAAATTTGTTGCCAACGGGGTTTTTTTTTCTTCAGTCGACAATCACTTAATGACAAAGACCAAAACAATGCTACCTTTGTTAGTCGGTAATGATTTGTTGGTTTGATAGCTGGTGGTTTTATAACCGCACAATTATATGATTGCGCTACTGCCATCTGCTATTTGAAGTTTCAATGTTAATGTTCATAGCGTGGGATCAACTGGTCGCCGGCTCTCCGGACGTCCAAGAAGGTTTAAGGAAGGCAGTCAATTGCTGACCCGGCTTTCAGGTCCCCTGGCCAAACCGAGTGCATCCATTCATCCATTTTAATTTTCACAAGGAAGTTGGAGCCTGCCTTGAGGCCTAAAAGGTGTGGTACATCCTGGGCTTGACTTGTCTGTCAATCACAGGACTCTTCAAAATGGCAGATAGGATTCACACCCACTTGCACGCACCAACACAGGCATGTCTTCAATGAAGCCATGATCCATATTTTTGTCAAAAATCAATATGAATTTGGAGTCTACAATGAAGCTAATGTACACATTTTGTACCATGTTGTAACTTTTGTTTCCTCCTTGTACAAAACCAAACAAAAAAATGGAAACGTGTATGTTCGCTTTATTAATTCATAACTAAAAAAAAATCATCTTTGACATTGACAACAGGTACATATGGTTGACTAAAGACTATTTTCTTCTTGTAAAAATTGAAGTCATTTTAGACTTGTCAATGGATTCCTGTGACTTGTCGTGAATCCAACTCAAAACTCACTTTGGTCTTCAGTGTGGTTCTTTTGCAAATATCAAAGACAATTTGGAGCCCCCAACTGACCTAACTTTGGCGTTGCAATAATCAACCATGACATAAATAGACATCTACCTGTCTGGCAAAAGCATCCTTTTTTGTTTTACACCATTAATTTTTAGGGACAAAAACATTTTTCGATGTGTTATTTTTGTGTAACATCCAAATGCTGATTCACTCTTTCATTTTTTTTTTTTTTTACAGATTTCCCCCCATAACCTTTGGGCAACTTGTGCAAATGTGGTGGGAACACCGACAGCTCTTAATACCGTTTCAAACTTCCATTACTCTTGATTTCTCACACATTGATAAATCTACTTCGACTCAGTAAAGTCCAATAAAATTAATCATTTAAGTAGAAAGGATAAAGAATATATGGGTGTGAGTGTTGCGATATTGTCTGTCTGCATGTGTTGCTCCATCTTTTACGCTCAAATATGAATTGCTTCAAGGATTATTTCAAGTGGCATTTAGTCCACTTAAGGAAAAATAATCAAATTTCGAGGTTGGGGAAAAAAGTCATTTAGTGTACAGTGGACCCTGCAAATGTGCGGTTCGGCATTTCGCAGATTCACCCATTCGTGAATTTGTTTGGGGGGATCCCTTTACATGCAGAAAGAAACTTACAATACAAAGCAATACAATAGCAATCAGTGTATAGTATATGATGACAGTCATTTGCGGGTTTTCGCTATTCACGGTCGGGGCGGGTATTAATTGTATTTTTAATGGTGTCAAATCTCAAACCGGGTTGAATGTGACACGAAGAGAATTAGGGTGAACATACTGTACTGTATTTTTCGAACCTACCTACCCGGCGTGTGCTTCATTCCAAACGTTCTACCCCTTTGTTCTCCGGGTGATCTGAATATTTGTTGTTCACAAGGCAATTAAAGTTGATTGTGTAACGATAACTTTAACACATTAACTAATTGTGCCAGTGGGCGTGGCCATCATTTGATCAAACCCGTTCCAATTACGGGCGGCTCATTGGTCCAACGGTTAGCGAGTCAATCTCACAGTGCAATTCCAGCACAGGCTTCCCTATGTGGAGTTGCATGTTCTCCCCGGGCCTGCGTGGGTTTTCTCCGGGTACTCCACTTTCCAAAAACATGCATGGCAGGCTGATTGAACACTCCAAATTGTCCCTAGGTATGAGTGTGAGCGCCGATGGTTGTTGGTCTCTGTGTGAGCGTGTGTGCGCGCGCGCGCGGTATGTGTGCGCGCGCAAGCGTCTCTTTGCCGGTCTCGCGTGTTGTTTGTGTGTGCGTGCGCGCGCGCACGTGCTTGTGTTGTTTGTGTGCGCGCGCAGGCGTCTCTTTCCCGATCACTTCCGGCTTGGCGGGGCGGATGGAGGTCGTCCACACAGCGGGCGGCTGACTTTCTTGTTGATGGAGTTGGCGAGCTACTCACATGGCTCCGGACACCTCCCGCGGGCCGGGCGTCACCTCGGCCGGCTTTTAGCGAGACCTAGCGTGGGGGACACCAGGCGAGGAAAAAAAAAGGGACGCTTCTTGTAGTTTGCGTGGCAGTTTTTCGCGTTGCGAGCGTGACCAAGTTAGACCGCCTATTCCACGCTCCTTCTTTAATACAGGGTAATAGTCGATGTATTGACGTCGATAATAAGTATTTATTCCACGTTGAGTCGAGTTAACTCAATAAATTCCTACCGGAGGCGTCTGTGAGAGACAACTCGTAAGGTAAGACGTTTGAATGTAATAATAACCTCTTGTAAGCAAAATGTTGCTTTCTCCAAGATGTAACAAACAGCATCCTCCAATGCATAAGTCGTTGTTATTTTCAGTCAAGTGTCATTTCGAATCCTTTCAACTCGTCGTTCTCCAGCTCAAACAATGCTCAGTTCTCCTCACCACCATCATGACCCAAGATTAAAATACAGCCATGTTAAGTGTTGATCAAAAAAATGAGGCAGCGGTTTGATTCTGAAAAAGTGTATCTGTTTATTTTTTGTAAGACACTGTACTATTATGCACACTTTGAACATTATAATTATTGGAAAAGAGAAAAAAAACTCAGTTCTGGAATACCGATTGAATAAATGTTTGAAAAATAAACAGTTCTGGTCACGATACTGATTGAAAAGTTAAATACCACTGAACCGTACTTTAAAAAATGACTGTACTGGATCAGAATACACTTAAGCAGACTTTATCCAGGGCTGCAGGCTACATTTAAAGATGTTTAATAACTGTTTTTAATTGGGTTGTCCCGATTCAATCAAATGATTAGAAAACCAGGGCCCATCACATGATTTTCAGTTGATCGGTATCATCTGAAAAAAATCAGATTTTTTTAAACTGTCTTCATTTTTGAAGGTCACAAAGTGATAAAATGAACCTGGGGTATCAATATAGCCAAAAGGAAAAGGAATATTTATGGTTTATGTTACAAGATGTCATGTTCTGAGTTCGTACGGTGGCGTTAAAAAAAGCGAGAGGCAGTGTTTTTTTTCTCCCACCTTTTCCGAATGCAGTTTCTACTTATTGATGAGGGATTGGATCAGGACTCTAGCAGATACTCAGAAGTGGCTTAGACCCGGACTCAGGTGCAAGAAAATGTGACGGGGGTATTTTTAGTTTGCAATGTTGTAACTATGTTGCGATTGACTCATTCATTTTTAATTTCACCATTTTGTCTTTAACCCTTTCATGCACCCTGTCACCTGAAAACCTGACAAGCTTTCCACTGTAGTAGCCGCTGTCCCTGAAAAGGTCAAATGATGTCTTTCTCCCACTGGCATTATTATTAATGTAACGATGACGTCTTCCACTGCGCAAGTGTATTCTCATTGTACTCTCCAACAAGGACATATTTTCAATCTCGCTAGTTTGACTCGAAAGAATGTCTTTTTTTTTTTTTGACCTTTCAAAATTCATGATTACACTATTAGACAAGTTTCCAACAAAACTGAGCGATTTCGATAGTTTTTCACTCTCACTAGTCTAAAGATGGCAACTGCAAATATAGACACCTAATATTTGGTTTTCATATGATTAAAACTTAAGTCAACGGAAAGCCTTTGGTGAAATTGCAGTCAATATTTGGATATGGAATATTAGTCTGCCTTCAAGGCATCTGAATGGCAATGACAGGAGGGCCTCCCCCAAGGCAGAATATTTATTTCGTGATAAATTGCAAGATACCGTGTTCGAGTCTATTCAGTTTATTGCTTGTAAATGTTCCAGGATCTGGCAAATTGACAAGTTTTATGTTTGAGACTGAAGGCAAGTAAAAAAAACAAAACAAGCAGGACTGTGCGATTCTGAAATGCTCGCAGCCAAGAAGGACTTGTAAACACTCCGCATTCCACTTATTTCTCTCTCTCGGTGGCTATCTCCGTTCTCCCGATTCCAGGCGCTCCAATTTGAGGTTTTTGAGAATCCACACAATGAATCATTGCGATATTTCCTTGGAACTGTCTCCCCCCACCCTCCCATTCTTTCTAGGAGGAAAGCCGGGTGTTTATTCCCCCTCTCGAAGCGGAAGAACATCCCGAGGGCGCTTTTTTGGCCGATGATGAGAATACCAGCGGGATTTTGAAAGGCTTCTTCACATACGTGATGGCCGCCAAATGATGAGTTGCTGTGGGGGGGAGAAAAAAAATGTGTTTCTGACACATTTGGACCTTCAGAGTAGCAAAAGATAAATTCCAGGTGGAACCTTTGATCAGAATTCCTTAACATATTTGACAGACTGCGATATTTCATTTACCACATAACTAACAGTACTTAGTCAATCGCCCTGAGGCTCACCGCACATGGGGCCATGCGGTGGCATATGACTGAACTGAATAAATACCGGTATATTATGTTTTACAAACATCATTAAGTGAAATGTGGAGACTCTCCGTCTCAGAACTGCACCGGTGCTTTTACAACCCAAATTCCGTACGTACTGTAGCAATACAGAATATACAGTAGAGGTAGGACCCACATGACGGAAACGCTTTTATAAAAACGAAAATTGATAGCTAGTTAAGTCTCGCGTTTAGAAAACACACTAAAACTCGCTGTAATTATAGTCAAAATGGTCTTTGTTATCGTACTTTTTTTTAAAAATCTTGCACTTGACGAACTCTCCATATATTTAAAACACGAATCATAAATCTAATTAAAAAATAAACGACAAAGAAGGATTAAAAAAAAAACACGAACAAGCCTCCTCTGAAAACAAAAAATGAAACGAACTGAATGAAAAAAAAAACAAAAGTCAAAATGAAATCAAAACCATCTACAATGAAAAATCCAGGTCTCCATGATTCCGGACATGCCCTTTTGTCTGAGTTAAAGTTTCCATCCAGCTTTAGCCTCCAAAAAGCCTCACGACATTACGATAGTTCGGAAAATGATTGCTAGCTAATTCTGCGCAGGGGGTGTGAGGGTGGGGGGCGCGCTGTCATGTTTCCAAAGAGAGTCCTACGAATCTCATCTTTTTTAAAAACATTGTGAAACCTGTTTCCTCGCCTTCCTTCTCGCCGTCATCCCTCATCCTTGTCTCTTGTTATTTTTCCTTCCCCCCCCAAGTCAGAACAATGGTATCTTTTATTTTAGGGCTCATGACTCCAGGAATGATCTCCGTCTCTGACGCACTTAGCAATGGACGGAAAAGTCTCAGCCGTCTCTGCTGTTTAGGGAACATTTGAATTTGTTTCCAGTTCCAGTAAACTCATTCAGTACCAGCCAATTGTGAACAAAGTCTGAAAAGACGTTTAAAAACGTCTTTGGGAGTGAATGAGTTAATTGTCTGCAATTTCTCTTGACTTTTTTTTTTTCTTGTCAACAGGCATGATTTCTACCTCGACTGACCCTCAAAGCCGTTCACCTCCCTCCATTTTAAGGGGAACTAGTCTGATGTTCACTCGGCCTTCAGGGCCCTTGGCCTTGCCGCGGGGATGGCAGCATTTGCCCTAAACCGGAACGCCCTCGCAATCATGAACGGGTAAGTGGACGTCTCCCGGTTGGAATCGAAACTTCAATGAGACATAATAAGCATATTTTTCACCTTCCAGTTATTTTAACCCTTTCAGGGACAGCGGTCACTACAGTGGACAGCTGATCATGTTATCAGGTTATAGAGTGCATGAAAGGGTTAATCACTTGTCTGGGACAAAATATTCCAAGGTTGAAGAATTGGAACATGTTTTAAAGTACGCACAGAATATTTAATACATGACACCAAACACAAATATCCCCCCCACCCCTCCTGTCCCCCCATTTTCCATTTATTGAATGTTTATCAGCATTTTAGGGCGAAATCACTGATCGGTGATGGGCTCCAAGATCCCGATCATGTAAAGCCGAGCTTTATCCTTAAAAATGTTTTGCACATGGGAGTTCACTGTACAAGCAACTAGAGTAGAAATACTATTTTCAACATGGTGCCCATACTCGACAGCATGTTTCCTCTCCCAACAGCGGTAATCAGTTTCACGTCCGGCAAGGTACCACTGGTACCAGCCCCCGAGATAGTAGCAGCACGACTGGCCGACCGGTGCTGCAAGTTCCAAATCAGGGCCCCTACTGCCAACTGCTGGGTGGATCGCCCTACAGCCCAGCCAGCGCTCAGGTACCGCAGGTTCGAAAACAGACTATTAGGAAAGAGAGTGGAGGTGTACTTCATAAAATGACCCATGTTTCAACTTCCCAGACGAGCCTCACTAGGACGCCGGGTCGCCCTTTCGTCTTCCCGCTCTCCCCCGGCCCCACCTCCCGCGTTCGCTCTCCTTCGCGAGGTGAGCCTTCCACCCCTTTCACTGAGGCTCTATCGATTCATCCGATTTCTATAGCACTTGCCCTTATTCGGGTTGCGGGTGTGCTGAAGCCGATCCCAGCTGACTTTGTGCTAGAGGCTGTTTGCACGCTGGACTGGACAAACAAGCATTCACACTCACTTTCATAAGTACAATTGTATCTCTACTTACGAACGTCTCTTCATACGAACTTTTAAAGTTATGAAACGCCTCAGTGGGAAAACATTGCCTCTTGTTACGAAAGAAATTTAACGATACAAAAGGTAAAAATACAGTATGGGCTGCTTATCGCAGCTTCGAGTTTCCTGAACGCAACATGCTCTGCCATTGGCTATTAGAGCATCATCCTGGCATCCCATTGGCTAAGAGGGACCTCGACCGCATGTGTCGATGTGTGTTGATAGATAGATAGGTGTTGATGCAGCGTCCTCGTCATTCCCCCAGGAGGTGTTCCGATGGTTTTACGTAAATTTGAATCACCCAGAAAAATGTTCACCAGTCGGGCGATCGCTCATTATGCTGATATTTGCCTCGGACATTTTCGAAGGATTGTTAAAAGCCGACAAAAGCAAACGTCCTTGGATCAGTTCGTGACAAAAGGCCAGGCAAAAACCATTTCTGAGAGAGACCATGAACTAAAGATGATGAAAAAACGATGAGGATGGAGTTAAAAGTAAAATGACCATAATTTTTATTCTTTACTCTATTCTTTCTTTTTTACACTATGCACGCACAACTCTTATTTATTGTGCAATAATCTAATTGTAACATGTATTTGTTACATAGTTTTGATGCCTTTTTATGCTTTAGGAAACATTTATGTCTGAATTTTGGGGGGGCTTGGAACGGATTAGGGTATTTACATGGAAAACGCGTCTCTACTTACCAAATGTTCTAGTTAAGAAATTTCTTCCAGGATCCAATTATTTTCGTAAGTAGAGCTGCCACTGTATAGCTAATCTAGATTAATGCTATTGTGAACACATGATGGGAAACGAGCATTGCTCCCAATTCCAGTCTACGTGCGCCGCGTTTTAAGGAACGGATATTAGAGCGCACAGGTTGCACCAACACCTGTAGATAGACAATACAACAATACTCACAGGCATGTTTTCTTTATCCTCTGCTAAAAACGGCTTCCACGGAAAGAGTTTGCTGAGTCACTTCCAGGAGTTGTGAAAGTCTGCTTCGATTGTGTCGTCATGAGTGTATGACTGTCATCACCTGCTGGCCAAGTCGCCTGGAATAGATGACTAAACTGTACAGAGCTAATCTGTCGGCCCCTAGTTATGTCTTCCAATGATGGTTTGTGGATAAAGCACTCGAATAAAGGTCACTGAATGCCTTCTTTCCTCTGTGTGTGAGTTGCAGGTCAAGGGTAAAGTGGGCATTTTCGAAGCGCACATTTCTGGGACTCGTGCAAAGGTGCTCACCAGCGAGCTCCAGTGCAGCCCTCGGTCTCCGAGACGAGCGGCGGGCCAAGTCCCGCCTCCTCCCAGCCGCGGCAGGGCAGCCCTCGAATGCTCAATGACCCAGGCCCGCCGGAGTCAAGTTCCTCCCGCTCTCCAAAATGGGAGAGAAGGCGAGCATGAAGCAGTGCACGGAGAGAGCAAGCGGGAAGAAAGTTGCGTGATTAACAAAAGCAACGACTCGGCGACATTGTTTGTTGAAAACGGCTGCCATTCAAAAACAATAGAAGCTCCCCGGTCAGATGGACCACTCCTTGTCCAGGGTCCCCCGGAGACCTTGGAGACGCCTTCAGCCAAAGATGGAGGGATAAAAGAGGACAGCGGGGTGAAGGAAAACAAACAAACACCGGGAGATGACGGAGATTCAAAGGAGAGAGAGGTGAACGCCAGACAGCAGTCGGGTCCTGAGGTGCTGCTGCGCACGGAGACCGACATGTTGGGCGCCCAGCCAGACGCATCTGCGTCAAAGCCTCCGGGTCCCCCTCGTCTGACCAACACGTCTTCCGCCGTCCTTCCGTCCATCCCCGCCGTCATCATTACCGACCACGGCCTAGAGAGCCACCCAGAAACCCCCGTCGGCACCCCGAGTCCCACTTCGAGCCCCGTGCCCCCGTCCAACGCCTCGGTGCGCTCCCTCAGGAAGCTGTCTTCCTCCTCAGCCTCCTCGGCCGGCTTCTCCTCCTCTTGGGAAGAGTCGGAAGAGGATATTTCCGACACAGAGAGAGGGGGGCACCTTCTCACCCCGGCGCAGCTGAGCTCGCGACAGAAAGCAGTAAGTATGACAGAGTACAAATACCACATGTTGCCGTAGCGATGTATAAAATGCTCACAATTACAAATAAGAATCAAAAAGTTGCGCATCATTTTGTGACCGTACTGTTGGCGACTCAAATACGAAGTTTGGGAAAAGGACTCGCTTAGAATTGTTAAATGTTAAATGATTCCTCAGGTCATTTTTTTTTACGTGATTTAAAAAAAAAGGTCTTGTGAGAAATGCTCTCATTTTCTCAGTAGGAATATTTAATACCGGTAATTTCAAAGTTTTCGCCTCCTTTTGTAGTGTGTGCGCATCATGTGAGGTGATCCTGGGGCTTGACTCACAGGAACAAAGCTAGCACTGTGCCTGACCTGCGTGTTTGTGTGTGTGTGTGCGTGTGCGTGTGCGTGTGTGTGTGTGTGTGTGTGTGTGTGTGCGCGCGCGCGCGCGCGTGTGTGTGTGTGTGTGTGTGTGTGTGTGCGCGCGCGCGCGCGCGTGTGTGTGTGTGTGTGTGTGTGTGTGTGCGTGCATGCGCGTGCCAGGTTTCTTAAAGGAAAGGGTTCAAGCAAAAAAAATAAAAAATTAAAAAATACAACTCGACACGTCACACACACTCAGGGCTTTTCCTGCCCTTTGAAGCACTACAAAGAAGAGGTGGTGGCTTCTTGTTTGTTATTTTAATTGATCGTACAAGCGCGACCTTGACTTTCAAGTTGAATTTCTTCCATGACCACGTTCTATCCGTCCATCCATTTTCTAATCCGCTTATCCTCACGAGGGTGGCGGGCGTGCTGGAGCTTATTCCAGCTGTCTTCGGGCAGTAGGCGGGGCTACACAACGTGAACTGGTTGCTCGCCAATCGCAGGGTACACACAGACAACCAACCATTGGGGCTCACAAACACAATCAATCCTTGGGACAATTTTAGAGTGTTAACATTCACCTGCCATGCATGTTTTTGGAATGTGGGAGGAAACCCGAATACCCGGAGAAAACCCACACAGACACGGGGAGAAAATGCAAACTCCACACAGGAAGGCCAGAGAAGCGGATTCGAACCCTGCATCTCTGCAGTGTGAGCCCGACGTGCTAAACAGTCGACCACCGTGCTGCCCTGACCAAGGTCTAATCTCAAATAAATCTTCGTCCTTGCAAAGCCGGAAAATTATTCCAGCTCCGCCCCCTAAACCGATTAAAAAAGACACTAAAGTGGAAGTCAACACAAAATTTTTCTTTACAATATTGTGTTCTATGCATCCCCACTAGTCTAAACACGACAGTCTGATTAATAGCACGTTTGTAGAATACGAGTTAAGTGGCAAAATCCACTTGTTTGTTTGTCCATCTCAGGGGGCGGCCATTTTGTCACTTGCTGTCAACTGAAAATGACATCACAGCTTCATAAAACAGCTCACTGGTTGTACCCTGAGCAACTGTGATGTCTTTTTCAATCGACAGCAAGTGACAAAATGGCCGCCCTGTGAGATGGATAAAAACGGGTGGATTTTACTGCTTAACTCATATTTTTATTATTGTCGAGAAAATTGTGGTGTTGACTTCCTGTTCAGTATTGTTGTGTGTAGTAATATTCAGTGAAGAAAAGGACCAAAATTGAAGTTATTTACTCGTGATATCTATTTTTAATTAATCGAACGATTAATCGGTTATCTGAGTTTTATTCCGCCAAATATCGGATTTGGCGTCGGCCTCCAAAAATCAAATCACACACATATTGCGAAGCAACAGGCGAAAAAATGTCATGGTCACTCTAAACTACTTCCTTTACACAAGAAGCAGCGACAAACAAACAAAGCATTTAACAATCGTCCCGAGCAGACAGCGCTCCCGGCGTGGCCCAGTTATGCCAATTTGCCGGAAAAGTCAGCGTGAGTAATGCTAAAACAAATTGATTCGTAATTCATGCCTGATTATTTCCTTGTAGCTTAGCAGCTGGCAAAACCCCAAAACAGAAAGAAAGCCACACACAACCCGGTTGTAAGATTTTGACCTGTTGCTTAATTGTGTTCCACTCCGGTCCTGTCGGCGGCGATAATGTGGATTACTAAGTGGTTGACGCCAAAGCAACAGATAGTTTGTGGTCTCGATTGTGATTCGAGTAGACGGAAATCGGGAAATGTTGCTAAACATCGACTTAAATCATTTTTTTTTGCAACTTTCAGGAGCGGTAATGTGCCGACTGCACGATAGCGTGACACCGAGTTAAAGTGGGTGTCGAATATCGCGTCCCTTAAACGGATGTCCCGACGGTCACAGGTGTCTTGGGTTGCTATTTGTTTATTTTGGCCGATGGATTTGAATGAAGGCTTAGGATTTCTCTTTGCATATTTCCACTGCAAACTGGAAGAAAAAAAGACGACGACTTCTGCCGGTCGTTCTGCGTAAATCATTTCCAAACTCCATTTTACATTTGGATCCCCCAACGGCCACCACCGCCGGCACCGAGATTCCGATCGTTGCGTACCCACCTGTAGCTCGTCAGCTTTTGTCTGATGAAACCTTGAAACCGTACCGACATGCACCGACATATTAGGCATGCTTGATTGTGCAAGCGGTATGCGGCGCGAGGCCAAGGAGCCAGAGCGCCTGATGAAGAGACAAGCGTGACGCTGGAAACACGCTGCTTATGTTTATGACTTGACGGAAGAAACAATTTCCCCCAAAAAAACCTCCTACTTTGACGACACCTCTCGCTTAAAGCGCGCTCAACGTTCATTTGGCTTTTTCACATGACGGCCCGCTTTCAGGCCTGACTGGTCTAGGCTGAAATGTAGAACAGAGCCTTATTTAGACACAGCCTGGCTCATCTTTTGACTCCTCCGGGCAAGACTCCAAAATGGGAAAGGCACACGTGTGCTGCAAATGTTATTGTAGTTGGAGCACAATTGGCAGCTGACGAAGCAACCTGAACGAGTTCATCATCAGGCGTCGGCATGAGCCCAGATTACATCAGCAGCGATTTATTTTTTTTTTGTTTTGTTTCAGATGCGCCCGAAGGCACGGCGGTCCAACGGAATGTTTGTACACAGCCGCCTCGTAACAATGAAGGAAGTTTCCATGCACGCAGCATGACGAGTAAAAATCCCAGTTCGCACGCGTTTGCTCAAATGAACGGATAAAAATGTCATTTGCATGCCGGGCCACTAGTTGGCAATGTCATTTCGATCTGATCCGAAACTGTCTTTTGAATACACATTGGCTGGCTAGTCGTGATTTTAGAATTGAAGATACGCAAAACAGAAGTCGTTATTTGTTGTTTGGTTGTCGTTTTTAGCGTTTTGAAACTTTTTTCAGTTTGAAGTTGAAAACTTTTGACATAGAATACAAACTAAGCTCAAGTTTTCAAATGGGAAGCCATTCACGCTATAAAACAGCTACAGCATAGATATATATTTTTTAATCGTTTAAGTGGTGCTGGGGGAACTTGAACTGTCCTTATTTGTCATAGTTCAACACATTAATAATCCGTAACAATAAATAATGAAAGAAAACGGGCTATAATTTAGCTTTGGATGGAAATGATCACAACATCGAGATCAGTTTTCAAATCTTCAACACATACACAACTTTTTCTTGCAAAATGACACTTAGTTAAAAGCAGTGTTCTGTAAACAGCTCAAACAGTCCATTATTTTATTCATATTTGACGTACTTTTTTAAATAATCGGCCGATCAATTTGTCGTCAGTTTTATTCTGTCAAATGTGAAGATCGGCATCGGCCTTTGTAACGATGCAACTTTTTTTCATGACAATTACGTTCGTCATAAAGGCTGCACCCAAAGATTCTACCCCGTAAAACAAACACGCACACACACACACCCTGACACACCATCTTGCAGATGCTACAACTGTCAAGAAGTGGGACACACACACACACACACACACACACACACACACACACACACACACACACATACACACACACACACACACACACAAAGCAAAACAAAACACATGCTGCACTGTGTGCGGCCGCAGTGGAAAATGTTCACTACCACAGCGGCCCGTTGCTTGGCAACCCCGTGACGTCAAACTGAGTTTCCCTCTTACAGCTGTGTGCACGCGCGCCCATGAGTGTGTAACTCTTAACCGTGACTGCGCCGCAGAGGGAGACACCAGTCAAATAACAGTTAACAGATCATAAATAACGCTGCCCGTGTGAGATGTTTCGCAATGTGGGTGTCAAAATGCGCACACGCCCGGCAGGGGAACGACCATTTTCACAATTTTTTTTTTTTGGTACTCATTTTTTTTCTTCTGAAGACTGGACCACACACACACACGCGAACACACACGCGTTCTAATTTTAACCGCGTGTGTGAGAAGTAGTCGGAGTGTGTGCGTTCCTCCCCACTCTAAAACTTTGCAGACATTGTTTGGCGCCTTGCAAGAAGAGCTGGTGGCGTGCGATAGTGGCGTTGTTGTTTCCTCCCGCGCGAAGGCATCACCGTGCATAAATCGCACTGCCGTTTAGTTTTCAAATTGCATACCCGTTGTGCCGCCATCAAGGGGGTGCTTTTAAAAATATCTTAATCCATATTATGAAAATAATAATGAATTCAGTGTTTCAGAGTGTTCGATGGATAAGACTGGGATGACATCTCAGTGGAGCGTAAAATCTATCTGCGTGCATGTTACAGCACCTGCGCCACAACTTAGACCTGCTTTTAACTGGTCTAATGTCGAGTCGACTTTTACACAGCGCGCTGTGACAAATTCCCAAATGCGGGAAACTAACAAAAACTAATCTGCCGGTTTTTACGCACATCATTGACACCGGTTGAAATGCATTGGGAATTTTTTTATTTTTATTTTTTTTTTCAAATCTGTGAAAAATGTGAGGAGAAGAAAGGGGACCCCCCCCCCCCCACACCTCGCTCCTCTCTCAATTTCAAAAGTGCTCCACTGCAAGGTGGATTTGAATTGGTTCAGCCCGAGTCCTCTGTGATTTTCACATCATCTCTACGTGGTAATATTGTGAAAATGCCCGTTCAGCACATTTTTAGATGAAAGGATCTTAATAAACCAGGAGACATCATACAAATGATGTACACGGTCATGCCTTGGCTTTTCTCCCTACTTCATTTTTGCTCTTTGTGTTGTTTACAAAGGGCAAGGCCTCTCTCGCTTCTTTTGTTTGTAGACACCGGCGGAAGTGGAAAATACTGTGGCTGAGGCAAAGTGGCATCCCCTCCACACCCCCCGCCCCCCTTCACTTCCTGTCGGCAAGAAGTTCCCCTGCTTACCATTTCCTCTCTCTCTCTCTCTCTCTCTCTCTCTCTCTCTCTCTCTCTCTCTCTCTCTCTCTGTGCAAAGGTTGTTCTCTTTTCTGGTTTGTCACCCGGCCGTTCTGGTGATGCCGATAGGAACAACCACATGGTCGATTGGCCAGAGGCTTGAGCCCTACTCGCCCCTGAATTTTAATTTCTCATCTTAGCGGGACATTTTGGACAATTCTATGCATCCAATTTTAGGAAAGGTCCACAAAAGCATGCTTGGAATTTCGGTGTGGAAGGACGCCATTCATCATCCTCCCGATGAGCTATAATGCAGATGCTGACCTTGCAAATGGACTAAACATCAATTCCTGTAGGTGGCCCCATGTCCGAGTATTTTCAGACTCATTGTCTCTCATTATGGAAGAATGATTATTATGATTAACTCATTCAGTACCAGATGGTTACTATATTACCAGCTGTTTGAGAGCATTTTGGCTGAACTTTCAAGACAAGATACAGCCCAAAGAAACAGTAGAGTCTTCACTCTTCACCCCCGCCCCCCTCAAAAATTGTTTCAAAATTTCTTCATTCTTTAGTATTCAGCAGTAGAGCATTAGTCGGTTTCTGACCAAAAAGCGGAGAAAACAACCTTTTTTTTTTTTTGAGGGGGGTGAATGAAACATCTCACAGAGCGGGAGTTTTGCCACTATTATTTTTTGCTTATGTAGCTGTAAAACAACAAAAAGAAGATTGCGAAGGGGCTTGGATTGCAAAATAATCATTTATTTACACATCAGAATCAAAATAACTTTATTGTCAACGTACCACTGGGTGTAGTGAAATGTAACAGACACAACCCCTCCAAGAGACATAGAAAAACAAAGTCCAACAGTGGGGGGGGGAACAAGAGTCCACCGGGTCACCTTTTACAGTGCCCCATTTTCACAGACACATTTTGTCACCGCGTTGGATCAAGGACATGAAGGTGAATGTCCCTTCCCTGGGGTTTCCATCATTGTTGTGACTGACCTGTGTGCAGATTTGCATGTCCAGATTGCCAGTGGTTAGTTTTGCCAATCAAATGACACGCGGTTGTCTATTGGCCCCGCATGCGTTACTTGCCAGTAAGGAGTTTCGGGTGCTGGACGGATGATTAGGGCTGGCAGAGAAGCTTAAAGATGACCCGTCGCCGTTCTGTCGCCACCTCTGAAGGCTTTGCGCTCGACTGCCAAGAAAAGGCTTACAAATGAACAATTTTGAAAATAATCCAATTTGCTGATTCCTGCTCTTCCGATTTAATATGCGAGTGTGTTTTTCCAAGTCCCAGTTTGTAAACTGCCATGCTGCTCATTGCCATCATGTGATGTGTTCATCAATCTTTAGTTGTGCAGAGAACAAGTCATGTGACTCCTCACTGCTTTACACAGTCAATGAGTTTGCGTGTGTGTGTGTGTGTGTGTGTGTATATACAGTCGATAGATAGTCATGTTTCATCCAATAAATTTCCATCAGGTCCACATGGGCTGACGTCACGCGTCGTCCTTCTTTGGTCCTCTTGTCCTCGACCTAATGTGGAGGCTCGGCTTCTCAGTGACTGTAAAATTCAAGAGGCATCACCCGACATACAGTAAATCACATTGTTTATAAGATGGCTGTGCGCGGGGAAGGGGAGAGCCCTCGGAGAGACGTCAGAAGTGGGGTTTTTTTTTTCAATTTTTGGTGGTTGCCAAGAGAAACCTCGGGACCCTCTGGAGTCGGGGGTCACCGTGTTCTGGAAACACAAAGTGGTGGTGTGGGAGACGCGGTGGTCAGGGACACCCAGCTCTGTGTGTGTGTGTGTGTGTGTGTGTGTGTGTGTGTGTGTGTGTGTGTGTGTGTGTGAGTGTGTGTGTGTGTGTGTGTGCGCGCGCGCGTGTGTGTGTTTGGCCAGTCATTCCATAAAGATTAAAGTCGGAAAAAAGTACTAAAGCCCGAGAGGTTTGTTTCCCTGGAGATCCACTAAAGCTGTGGTTTAACTGCCCGTTGGACTCTTCAGACTGGATGAATAAAAATAACACGCCGTCTTATTTTCAGAATGTTCTCTCCAAGTTGGTGACCAGAAGAAAAAAAAAATGGTAAACAAAATTAACGTCATACAATTTGAAATGCCCCCACTTCTGGTCTAGTCTTGTGGGTCCTTTAAAGATGATAAAATGCTAACTTTCGAACAGTTGGTTTGCTAACGACACCTTGAGCGGATAAATCAGTCAGGCAAATTATTAGTCCTGTACAAAACAAAAACGTTGACAAAATTGTTCGTTTAGAGTTGTTGAAAATAACATGTGCAGCCCCTTTGGGTTTATCTGAGACTACAGTCAACCTGCGCATACTTGCGTTTTGCTAGCTGTGGATTCGCATATCCGCAGTTTTTGTCTTTTTTAAATACTTTTTCATTTATTTTTTCCCCCAATATTGAATGTTTACCTCCCATCATTTTTTTTAAAAAGAATCTTTTGGGTTTATTTGTTTTTTTTTCCCCAATGCATTTCAGTGGGCGTCAAATCGACACAGATTTTCGCTATTCGCGGGTTAGCCCAGTCCCTCTCCCCCTTTGCTTATCAATGGCTTTCTCTAACTTTGGCCTATCTTGACAGCACAAGTCATGGAAGAAAATCAAGAACATGGTCCACTGGTCACCATTTGTAATGTCCTTCAAGAAGAAATATCCCTGGATACAACTGGCAGGACATGCTGGTACATGCACACACACACAAACACAGACACACACACAAATTCATTTTTTTTAGGGAAGTTTACATGGATTAGAATCATTTGTGGAATCAACCAACGTCGTTTATTTGTATGAGATACGACCGGTGAAATGATTGAAGCACTTGCAGCCAAATTAACCCTTTCAGTTATTCTTGGTGCATGAAAGGGTTCAAATGGATCTTGAATGGCTATGAATGAGTTAAAATGACTCCATGTGATGTCATGTAGTTCCGTATGCCAGTGGAAACTAGTAAGTTGATACAAATCCCGATTCAAGATGGGCCTTTTATAGCATTCCCCCCACGAGGCCGTGTTGACGGTGGTTCCTGACGGGTGGCTGTCGTACGTGTCAGGGCCCTAAAAGGAAGCGTGGCGTTGGGGCAAAAAAAAAAAAAAAAAAGTCCAAGTGAGACGGACATCCCCGGCGTCTGTTGGGATCGGCTCGACCTGGCTGGACTGTCCTAAGATTCGTCTTGCGGTCTAACGCTGTGTCTCTGTTAACAGGGAGCTTCAAGGCAGGAGCCAACGGTCACATCTTAAAAGTAAGTCCAACACGTCGCTGTATCATAGGAGGCGGCACCAGCGTGTTGATCTCGGCTTCTCCGTTTAGAAACACTGCGAGTGCGAGCAGCGCTGTCTGTCCCTCCTGATGCGGGACGTGCTGTGTCCGTATGTGCCCGGTTACCACGGCGACGTGGAGAAGGATGGCCAGAAGTATAATCAGATGGAGGACCTGCTGGCTGAGTTTGACTGCCCGTGTGTGATGGACTGCAAGATGGGCGTGAGGTAAGAGGGCGTGGCCTTATCGCTCTCTGAAAATGGTCGCTTCCATCAAGAGGGAAGGTCCAAAGCTGGATGACCTCCATCGTTGTTTACTGTGTGGCCTTCCGTTTTCCTGTTCCTCTTCCTCTTTGGTGTTTCTCCGCTATGATGTCATGCTATTCGTGAAGCTAATTTGCTTCTTGCAGTGGAAATTATCGAATTGCTTTTTTTTTTTTTCACTCTTAGTATTGCGATTACGATTTATGATGTGATTTTTTTTTCTTATTTATTTCCTTTAGGCTTCCACTCAAATAAAAGCAAATAAACCAATTCAGTTTTAATGAAAAACAATTTGGTTATCTTCAATTAGTTATGAACTTACTAAACACGTTGAAGTGCACCCACCCCAAAAAAACTACTTTTCTTTTTAAACTTTGCTCATGATCTTTTTAAAATTTTTTGAGTGTGTGTGTGCTTGCCTGTGGGCGTGTGTGTACGCATTTTAATGACAGCGGCGAAAAAGAGACTCATTAATAGAGCGACTCATGATGAATTCGAAGAAATGGTTTAACGGTTACGAAGAACGCTTTGCACGTAAGTGTCCTCGAGCTAACATGCTACATTGCCAAGTTTGAAGACAAAAACGTTATTATTTAATCACACGCAGCGGGATGTTAGTGTAAATATGCGTTTCACTGAATATTCATGATGGACCTGTGCTGTCTAGTTGTGAAGTGTTTATTTTCTGATCATATATTTGAGGATACATTGGAAGAAATCACATGGCTTTACGTATTACATGCAGCCATTTCAACTTAGGTGGCCATATGTGCCCTTTCAAAGGCTACATGAACACTTAATATCGCTGATCTGATCATACTTAGGCTTTTGCTGTATTTTTTTTCATTTTCCGAAACCACAAAAACAGTAAACGAAATAAAATACATGAATTACATTTCCCTCGTGGTTTCCTAATTAACCTTTTCATGCACCCTGTAACCTGATAACATGATAAGCCGTCCACTGTAGTAACCGCTGTCCCTCAAAGTGCAGTCGTAAAATGCCAATTTCACACATTTTCATTCATCCATTGCCCTATTTTCTCCTCATCCATCAGGACATATCTGGAGGAGGAGCTGACCAAGGCCCGCAAGAAGCCCACCCCGCGGCCGGATATGTATCAGAAGATGGTGGAGGTAGACCCCGAGGCGCCCTCGGCCGAGGAGAACGAGCAGAAGGCGGTCACCAAGCCCCGGTACATGCAGTGGCGGGAGACCATCAGTTCCACCGCCACGCTGGGCTTCCGGATAGAAGGAGTCAAGGTTAGCGCTCACAAAGCCGAGGATGTGTATGTGTTTTTCGGAGTATGTGTGGGAGGGTGTGGGAGGGGCGGGGGGGGGGGGGGGGTGGATGTCCTTCAGGGCGATGATCTAACTTCCTGTTTTTTTGCACAGAGACTTCTAGTCGAGTGTAAATCATTATGTCTTTCTTTGTCGTGTGAGGGGTCTGTCGGTGGCAGCTCGGTTGGCCTTTAGCATCTGGCCCTGACACACACACACACACACGCATGTACACACGCGGTTGCGGCTATATAAGGACATTCATGGCTTCCCGGTGGTCCGTTGCCATGACTCTGAGGGTTATCCCCAGAAACAGAGGTGTGTGTTTGTGTGTGTGCGTGTGTTCCCAGACCTGAACCTTAAAGGCAGGGGTGATGTTGTCCCTCCAAATAGTACCTTGTTGCTTGGCAGCCACGGAACACAACGAATTCTACGAATCTGCGGCACTTCTGTGCTGCCAACATGTATCAGGGCTCGTCACGTGACATCAATGTCAGATCTTCAAAATAACCTCCACCGCCTTCCTCAACTAATGTCCATTTGTTCTTGGGCTCCTACTCTGTCCTCCCTTTCCTTCCTCTCCAGTGTGAACACGTATACCATCCTCTTCCGCAAAACATGCTGGGAAATTGTGGCTCCTCGTGTGTCGCAAACAATGTGGATCATTTCACAAGTGGCCTCGATAAGTGGTGACAAAGTTCTCAGGAGTCAGACAGAATAGTTGGCAGTCTGGGGGTTCCACAGGGAACCATCCTAGAGCTCTTTCTTTGAATTGTTTTTCAACTGTTTCAGCTAAAGAAAGATTTTTTTTTAAAATTCAAGTTTATTTGTATAGCCCTTAATCACAGAAGAGTCTCAAAGGGCTTCCGATTTCAGCTACATCCCGCCCAAAAGGACAAAGAAAAAAGAAAAAAACAAAACCACAACTACTTATGGTTTTTCTTTTTTTCTTTTTTGTTTTTGTTTTTTTTGTGATTGAAATGCGTTCATTCGCAATAGTTACACAACAGTCTGAAGACCGTCTCTCATATCCTCTCTGCAGAGATCTCACATATAGTAATCCGGTCATGCATTGTAACATTGATGAGACATTGACATTGGTAGCCTAAAGTGCTAACATGCCAACAGCTGGTATGCTAACATAGCATAACAGCCTGAGTATTGAAAGAGCAAAGGCAAATTTGTAAGGATTTGACATTGTGTCCTGTGGTCGTATACTATTTCGAACGAGAATCGATCAAATGCTAAGATGCTAACTTGCTAACTGTTTGTACGTTATCGGCTCTTTGAGACTGGACTCTTTCAAGAGTTGTGATGCAGAGTGTGTCCTGCGGCCCCACAGAAGGAGGACGGGACAGTCAACAGAGACTTTAAGAGGACAAAGACGCGTGAGCAAGTCATGGCGGCCTTCCGCGATTTTGTCAAAGGCGACAAGGACATACTGGTAAGAAGGCCTGGGAACTGAAAACCCCAGAGCGAAAGCAACTCGGCAGAAACTGACTGACCTGTGGCACATGTGGGGTGGGGGGCGGGGGGAATGGCAGCTAGTTTTCATTATGTTAAAGCATGTATAACACGCATGTGTTTTCAGAGTATCTACCTAGCCAGGCTGAAGGAAATCAGAAGCACTCTGGAGACGTCGCCCTTCTTTAAAACTCACGAGGTAAGCCTATTTCCTCAACATGTAATCTTCTTCAGCTTTCTTGTGAAAAATTGTCGCGTGTTGTCGCGCAGGTGATCGGCAGCTCCCTGCTGTTCGTCCACGACAGCAAAGGCAGAGCCAAAGTGTGGATGATCGACTTTGGAAAGACGATGGCCCTCCCTGAGGGCCAGGAGCTCGACCACCGAGCGTCCTGGCAGGAGGGCAACCGGGAGGACGGCTACCTTTTCGGACTGGACTGTCTGGTGGATATCATTTCTGCCTTGTTGGACTCTGAAATATGAGCGCTTTTACTATTATTATTGTTATTATTATTGTTATTATTTAATCCGCAGCGGAAACATTTGGAAACACGCACGCTCTCGTCTTCGGATGTCATTTTTGCAGATGTTCGTTCCCTAAAGGGGAAAAAAAAAAACACTCAAACCTACTCTTTCATGCATCTTTAAAAGATACACCGACACACCCTTTTATTTCAAGTAACAGCAACAGAATTACGACAGTTGCAGATGTGGATAATCTGTCATGGAGTATTAGGCAAAGACTGAAAAGAAGACAAAAATGACACTAAATTAATGTTCGTGATCTCTCGCAAATAAAGTTATTTATTTTTGAGAAAAAAAGTTAGAAGACCATAAATTTATTGTATTTAAAGCGGCTCCACTGATATTCTTCCCTTTCCCTGTCATGGTTTTAGTCTGGTTATATGACTTTAATCTTGAAAATAATTGAGATGTTAAAAAAAAGTGACTTTATTCTCATAAAATTATGTATTAAATCTTGAAAATGTATGTTTTTATCATGGCGAAAATATACCACTTTTTATCTAAAAAAATACACAACTTTATTTTCGAAAAATAACATTTTTGTTTAAAAAAAATCAAAAAAAAATACACGACTTCTCGTCACAAAATTATACAATTAATATGATTTCATTTAAGTTACCACTTAAATCTCAAAATTATCCAATTTTATTATTTTTAATTGCTTTCAATCAAAAATGATGAAAACATACATTTTATTAGAAAAATATATAATTCGTTTTTTAAAGAATTATGCCAAAAACATACAACTTTTCATCTCGAAATTATAAAACCTTTTAATTTTTTTACCATTTGTACAAGTAGATCGAAATTCTCGTAAAATTTCTCGTAAAACAACTTCTAACTTCTAATTTATAATTTCACGGGGAATATAAAACGTTAGCGCCCTCCAGTGGAAGCACGAGGAAAGACATGGAATCCAAAAAGAAGAATGCACATGGTGCCTTAAAAACACACAATGAAGCCTCAAAATGTTTACCATTTGTAAAAGTAGATCGAAATTCTCGTAAAATTACAACTTCTAACTTCTAATTTATAATTTCACGGGGAATATAGAACGTTAGGGCCCTCCAGTGGAAGCACGAGGAAAGACATAGAATCCAAAAAGAAGAATGCACACAGTGCCTTAAAAACACACAATGAAGCCTCAAAATGTTTTGAGATTACAAGTTAAATTTCCAGTGAGGACGGGAATGTTTTTGCTGTTATACTTTTACCATATTTGTTACTTAACATGTCGGCACGATATTTTCCACGTTTGGAGATTTTTGTTAAGTGTGTTTGGCTTGGATCTGATGTCTAAAATTTAGGGGTTAAATGACCAATCTTGTTTAATGCTGTGCTTTCCTATCCTGTTCATTGTGTGGATGACACCATTTTAGCGCCTGCTGAACACTCTTGATGTGCAACCTAATTTCAACTATGGTGCCTTTACTGACTGTCTCCACCATCTGCCTTCACTCCATGTCTTATTTCCCTCTGTAACTCTTAAACAAGTGCATGTTTATTAGCGTCTTGAAGCTTGTTCATGTCTATTTATAATACAGCATATTTCTTTTAGCTGATGGCTTGGCCCTGTGGGATGCTTTTATTTAACTTTTTTTGGTCTCATTTGAACCTGCGCTTCAGTATTGCAGCATGTGCTAGAAAGAAAATACACTGTCATGATAAAAGTAGAGTGTCTGGGTGATTTTTTAAGAGGCGAACTACAATTAAGGTCATCTCTGTGTTAAACAGAAAATGGAAAATTCCCCAAAAATGCATTTAAAGCTATTTCTTAGAATTGGGTTCACTGGCTCTAGTTTTGCTGATTGCTTGATTACTGCCATTATAATTTGGATGATTTATTTAAAATAAATAAATAAATAAGAGAGGACTAGTTTCCTTGCATTTCCTGTCAATATGTCAGACTATGTTTTAATAATGATATAATACATTTCATATTTTAAGGTGCTGCCCTTTTTATTAATAAGAATAATACATAAATTTATATTGTAATTTAATGCTCTATACTGTAACTTAGACGCATTCTGACCCGATTTATTTTTAAAATGCATAGTAAAAATATCTTATTACTTCTGGTTTTATATTCATGTGCATTCTGACCCGATTTATTTATAAAATGCATATTACACAATGTAATATATTACAAATATTTAACTTTATGCTAATTTGTTGTTTAAAATTAAAAATATCTTATTACTTCTGGTTTTATATTCATATAATAAAAATATATAAATATTTATTATCCAGTTTGAAAAAGAAATGCCAATTATGTGCTCTCCTTTTGATTCGTGGAATACAGTGAATACTCTATTTTATGCTATTATTGTAATGTATTAGTAATATTACATATCAATATGTACAATGCGTCGCATATAATGCCACGATTTTTATAATTAGGTCAGAAAGATAAAAACCCGTCAACAAAACCACTTCCGCATTTGTTTCCTTGCCACACCAATGAAAAACCTCGTTAGGTCCTCCACCTCCTGACAACATCCAATGGCAAACGATCAGGGGCGGGGCCACGGTGCCAATGCTCGATGAAATTAAAAAAAGAGTTCAGGCGGATTTGCATGGGACCATCCACGTGCACCAGGGGGCCAGTGGGGGGCGTGCGTGTCCGGTCAAGTGGTTTGAGCTCCTGCTGTCTGCGTGGAGTTTGGTAAATAAGGAGTTTTGACCTCATGGCGCAGAGACGCGCGCCGACTGGATACGAATGACGACCCAGGCGCTCTCCAATATGAACGTGTATCCTTCATTTTTCTAATATACTGTTTCTTCATCGGTTGGAGTCGCTTTGACCTCGTGGGAGTCGAAAGCGAACCACGCCTGCTGGTGAGTGAACACAGATTATCACGCATTATCGGACGTGTTTAATCCCTGTGATTTAGCCGCGCTGCAACCCTCATTAATTTGCACAAGTTTGTTTCAAAGTGCACATTTTGCCACACTGGTCTGTGCTAGCTAGCTTACAGCCACAACAACGTGGCGCAGCTTGTTTATAGAGAGCGTCAGTGACCCCGCTGAACACTTAAATTGGACACATTTGCCTAAATTTGTCAATAGGATTAATGTGCAATGAGTGCATTTGGTGGGTGAATGAAAGTGACGTCAGTTTGTTTGCTAACGAACCTTGTTTTTGAACATGTTGTCAATAAAGTTGCAGTTTGATCTTGGTTTGTTTTGCATTTTTTTTTTTTTGACATGGCAGAACCCGAAGATAAAAGATTAATAGATCCAGTTAACACATTTATTTGCTACCGTTTGTGGCGTAACAAATTCATAAATCAGATTTTTATGCACACAAAGTGCCTGGATCTTTGAAAGGGTAACTTTGTCGTCAGTGTCTTGATAATAAAGTTGTGGGGGTTTATTGTTTTATGTCAGCACACAAAGTTTAATTTCATAGACCAATTTAACACTTTGATGTTGTTAAGTGTGTCATAATAAGTTCCTAAATATGATTTATATGCACTCAGAGGGACAAAATATTTTTTGAAAAGTCAACTTTCAAGTTAGTGTCTTATTAATAAAGTTTTATAATTTATTGAGAAATGATACCAGACGAAGTTAAAAGTTTAAAGTTGAATAAAGGCATTTAACATTTTGAGTTAGATTCTTATGCCTTACTGAGGTCGTAAATGGAATTCATGTTCAATAAGTGAACTCAGTAGGTGAATGGAAAGTATGTTGTTTTGAAGGCTGAGCTTCTATGCAAATTCCCAATCATTTAAAATATGACAACGAACTAAGTTTAAAGTTAAATATAGACTGGAGTTTGACATATGTGTTTTGTTTATGACCTTGTTTTTATCAATAACCCAGTCCAATAATCACCATCGTGCTAATGTTTGTTTTATCTTATCATTTGTTATTGTTTTAACTGGGCTGTTATCTGCATTTTGCCTCAACAACATAACTTGACTATAAAATACAAAGTAATCCTCTAGGATTGCACTTTATTTCAATTGTTATTCAATCCTTTTGTTAAATTCATTGTTTTTTTTTTTTTTTGTTTGAGCATTATTCTGAATTTTGTCATCAGCCTAGCAGAGGCAAAAAAACATAAAGCTTCTGGACTGAATTTTAACTGGAAAAAGAAGTACTTCATGTTCTAATACAACTACAAATAGTCAAGTATAACATTTTGAACATTTAACACAGCTTTAAACAAAGATTACAGTATTATTGACGCATTGTTAGAATGATAAAAAAAAAAAATAATGCCACGCAAATACAAAAGTAATACAAATAGTAAAATACATGTGCTTATTGTTTACTCAGGTATAATTCTGCCTGCCCTTAATTTAGAATGTGACTGTAACACTTCCCATCCAATATGTTCACACATGTAGACTCTGTCCTATTTTCATTACTGTGACCGAACTGTGTGTGCATGCAAGTTTGTGTGTGTCTGTGTGTGACACACACAGACACACACACACACACACACACACACACGTGTGAGTGTATAGGAGTTGCAGTGCAGAAGAGTCCAGACCAGCCAACAGCTGAGGCTCACCCGTGTGCTTTTCTATGTTGTTGTTTTGTGTGCAAGCATACACATGCAGTAGTACAGTTAAGCCAGTTCAGTCAGTGCTTGTTTTGGATCCTCACATTTAATTTCTCCAATTGTTGTTCTCTATTTTTTGGTGTGTTTTGTTTAGTGCTGGAAGTGACACACGGGAAGATCGTTTACATTTTGCAACAGTAGTTCCTCATTCATGGTGTTTTGTGTGTGTGTGTGTGTGTGTGTGTGTGTGTGTGTGTGTGTTGGGGGGGTTGTTTTCATGGTACAACCCAAATTTAACTAAAAATTAATATTTTGGTTACACCTTGTTATATGCATGCCAGGCCAGTAGGGGGTGATCACATCATAAACGCGCATAGACAAATATTTAGTGGTGCACCTGATTGCATACATAATTTGATTTTTAAAATTCAATGATGTTTTATAATTGATTAATACAATAGTACTACTATAACTTACTGTTTGCCAAATTCTGACCTAAAACAAATGATCTGCAGTCTTTTATGTCGACTACGTTTTGTTTTAAAAAAAAAAAATTGAATACAGTGTCAACAAGTTTAAGTATATAAAACATTCTATATTGTATAATAATACTTTCAGCCAGAATCGGACCCTGAATTGTCCAAAAAAAAAATCTGTATTTACAACTCATGATATAATATTACTTTATAAGATCAAACTACTTCCTGTTTGGCCTCCTTGACAGATCAATCGGAAGCCACTTTTCTACTGCCTCCTGACAAGTGACAATGGGAGATGAGAAGGGCAGTGTATGCAGAAAAGTGGTGAAGATTGCACGACTGTCTTGTGTCCTATGTGTTGTGTTGTGTTATTTTTGTTATTTTGACTTCAAAATGGCGCCGCGAGAGTGGCTGCCTTTCCAGCAGCTCCTATATTTTGTTGTTCTACTTCTTCCTTTCATAACTTTGCTGCTGTGTATTGGGAATTTCTCCATTGCGAGACTAATAAAGGTTTTCTTATCTTATCTTATCTTATCTTATCTTATCTACTTTTCCTTAGCCTTGACCCAAACAAACCTCCATGTTACAAATGTAAACAACGAAGCGTCATCCATTATTGTTTTGGTCATGAGGTGCCAATGCATGACTACACTCCATTTTGGCACACCACCGTTGTATTTAGCGCATATGTTTAAATTGAGCCGCCATGTTAACACAAGGTCAAAACAACATCAGTGGGACGAGTTAGCTTGAGGGTTGAGGAATCGTTTTGTTGTTGCCGTTGTGGGTTTGGCTCATTTCGCAATGTTTTTGCTGTTGTGCAATAGCAAGTTGGTCCCGATTCATTTCGTCAGTATTTAAAAAAAAAAAAAAAAAAAAAGTGTGTGTGTGTGTGTACACTCTAGCAGCGGAATGTAGGTGTTGCTCAGGTGTTGAGGTGTGTCCACGAGAGAGTAAAAAAAAAAAAAAACTTCATCAATCCAGCTTTGAGCTGAATATCGAACAAATGGATCATAAATATGAAATAATATAAAGCAGGCTGTAACGGATTAATGTAATTTCCATTTATTTCAATTGGAAAAGATCATTTGAGATTTGGTGTTAAGAGCATGGCAACGGAACAAATGAAAATCATGTCTTAAAGCACCACTGTAGTTTTTTTAACATGACAAAAAACGTAGACAAAATACGTCATGCTCACCAGGAGGCATACAAACTTCAAATGTATCAATGTGTGTAGATCTCTCCTGACAGGTTTTGCAAGTCGATTTCGTCTGTAACATTTTTGTTCCGACCAAACGATAAGAGGATGAGAAAAAAAAAGGTGAGATTTGTGTGGGCCAACAAGATAAATCTGATTAAAGTGATATAATTTAATTTAAATCAACCAGAACTACTGATTATGAAGGCCATTGGCAGATTGACATGGCAACACGAAGAAGCTGAAATCTGATTGGACCCCCAAAAAAAATCTAACTACCCCAAAAATACTATTGGCAATAAATGAATAAAATTTTAGGGAACCTATATTGTAGGTCAATGCTAACGGTGGTTTTCAGGCCAGCAGAGAAGGCCCTGACCGCTAAGCACTGCTATTTAGTATTTAGAACATCAACACGGGGGGGAACCGTGCGCTATGTTTAGCGGTCAAGCCTCGATCGGGAAAACAATGCGGCCGTCCGACTTTCAACAGCATTCCTTCCACCTCTTGTCAAATGTGTGGGTGAGGATTCGGTCAGGGAGTATTTTAAGCAGTGCAGTGGTCGCCCGGAGAGGCAGAAAGAAGAGCACAGAGTACGTGCCAGGGTTTCTTCCTCGTAACATCTCTTTTTAACACACTTTTTGTTGTTTTGTAGTGGGCCTGTCATGGCGGGCGACATGATGATGCTAATGCGAGGCCTGGCTAAGCTGAGTCAGGCCGTCGTGGAGACGCAGGGCACTGCCCTGCGTGGAGGGACAGGTGAGTGGAGCCTCTGGACACAAAATGGAGCTCCAGGCAGCTGCCAGTGCTGCTAACATGAGCTTTTATTGTTGTTGACTACATTTGCCAAGACACGGTGGTTGACTCTTTAGCACGTCTGCCTCATAATGCAGAGGTGCAGGGTTCGATTCCAGCTCTGGCCTTCATGTGTGGAGTTTGCATGTTCTCCCCGTGCCTGCGCGGGTTTTCTCTGGGTACTTCGGTTGGATGGATGGAAATGAATTGAAATATACCTTTAATCATTGGTAATGCACCACAAGGCAAATATCATACAAAATGGAGCTCCATGTAGCTGCTAATTGTGCTGACATTAGCAAATAATTGTTGCCAAGTACAACACATTAACTCAAGTTTATACAGCACAGGGCTCAAGTTAACACTTTAGTGACAGGCCTGTTAAATTACGCTTCTTTTTAGATGTTATTTATTTATTTATTTAACCTGTATTTAACCAGGTAATGCTATTGAGAACGGATCCTCTCTTACAATGCTATCCTGGCTGCAGACAGCGGAGTAATATCAAAGTGAAATAAGAGCAAGGACAAATAAATATCTGTATGTCTAATTAGCTAAAAATGCGACATTAGCCAAAGGCTAAAAGGAGCATCATTTAACAGCTTTTGTGAAAAGACTGCGAATGAAAGCTTGGGTTTAATGGTCTATGTATTGCTAATTGTGCTACCATTTGCATTTAATTGTTGATAAGAATGCTACATTAGCCAAAGTTTATACATGTTTTCGACAGGATTGCTAAAAACTGCTTAGCATCATGTGACGCTAGCTAAATACTCTGTTAGTCAAAAATTGTACAATGTTGAACAACAGTTCACAATTTTTGTGACGGGGTGCCAACATTAGCGTGGTAATAACAATGACGCTAAAATAAGCTTTGTTTCAGAAAATGCTACATTAAACACCCTGGTGATGGTCACATGTAGTGAACAAGATGGTTTAAGTGTTTTTAAGAGTCTGTAATAAATATTTACAACATATTTTAGTGTGAAGTAATTTTATAAACAAATAAAAATGTTTTGTGCTAAATAGGAAGCCTTCCTGCTGTCGGTGCTGCTGTCCAAAGCTTCCAGTCGGCCGCCGAGCAAGGAATCGCCATGGTGGTGACGAAAGCACAGGTAAGCGCTTTGTCTCAATGTTCCAAAATGAAATCTTGCTGTCATTCCTAGCGTGCCCTAATGTTTCAAACTAAGGAGCTGAGTCAGCAGCAAGCCTCCTCCTCGTCCGAGTTTCCTCAGGACGACTTCTCCTCGACTGAGTTCAGCGAGTACGACGAATTCGCGGCCGATCATCCTGCTGGCGCTAACAAGGGAGCATCTGATCCGAGCCCAGCGAGTGGGACGAAGAGCTCGCCGTTCGCTGGCTACAAGGATCCTTCCCGAGAGTTTGGCAACAGGTGGTACCACAGTGATGTACGCCATCAGCACCTGCTGACAAGAAGAGGCGCGTGGCTCCAGGCATGCGGGCGGCGGGGTTACCACCAGGAGCCGTCGTCGTCGGTGAGCGGGCTGACGGCCGAAGACCTGGAGAAGGCTCGGCAGAGCAAGCAGGTCGACGTAAAGCCGCACAAGCAGATGGTGACGTTTGCTTTTTAATTTCTCAAGATGTTCTGTCTCACTATGATAATTTATTCATAATTTAGTCGTAGTAGCAGTAGTATTTTATTGTGTTCAGTGTTGTTTTTTACCGAAAGGTCTTTGTTCACAGAGATCCGTCACTTTATGTGTCATAAGTACAATTGGTATTGTTACTTGGTATCGGTAGTGGTAATACACAAGTCGAAGAGTGGTATCGAACATCCCTTTTTAGGTGTAATTATTTTGGGGATTTTATTTATATATTTATTTATTCATTCATTTATTTATTTGTTTATTTATTTTGGGAAACATATCATGAATTTATTTAGTTAGTATTTAGTATCCTTTTTGTTTTGATCATTTATCTATCCTGATTTTGTGTTTTGCAATTTCTTTCCCCCTTACTTGTTATTTATCTCTGTTGATATATTTTGTCTTACTTTTAGTTGAGCGAAAGAGCCCGTGAGAGGAAGGTGCCCGTAACCCGCCTGAGCAGGCTCGCCAACTTTGGAGGTAACGCTTCTGTTTCATGACCCCGCACACCTCCACCCCCACCTTTTTATGTCAAGTATAAAAATATACTTAGTCCGTCCTTTATTTAAAAAAACAAAACAAAAATTGTTGTCCTTCGTCCCAAAAATGGGCGTCCATCCGGGACAGACATATGCTCATTTTCTGGCAGTTTACAACTCCTCTCAGATCAAAATCTGTCTCCTTTCCAAGTGTAGCCACTAATGATAGCCTAGCTTGAATAGTAGCGAGCTAGAGTTTGCACTTTAGTGTCGTGACTGGCCTTCTTTCGAATCAGGGCTCAGGTTTCTGGACTGATTAATCACATTTATTAACATTTGGAAGCTAACTTGGGTAAAAACAAAAACAGCGTGCCTTTGCTAGCATGCTAAAGTCACCCCGATTCGAATGTGACAACTACCGATTGATGTCAGAATTTGATATTGGTTGATGGCGTCGTGGTGAAGTCAACAAGATTGGACAATGTGAACATTATGGCACATAAATTGGGTTGTTGCAGCGACGAGGCGTCCTTGTGGGCCTTTCTTCTTCTTGCTTCTGCTGCTGTTTGTTGCCTTACAGATTTTTGTGCTGTGATGATGTAACCATGCTGTTATGTAACCCAGAGAGCAGCCTTGGATGAGTCGTACAGCCCCCTAGTCCTCTCTTGAATCGAGGTTATCACAGCTCACCACAACAAATATTGCAGGGCTAAAAAACAAATACAACCCCAGCAGGAACTGTTATTAAAAAGGAAATACTTTTTTTTTTTTTTTTTTTTGATAAATCCCTCTCCCCCATACATTTCAAATCACCTACCTTTGGAATAAGTCATTGTTGTTGAACAAGGTTAAGCTCATGTCCATTTAAAAGATGATTTTGTCTTCTTATTTTTGCCTTCTTTTTTTTCAAAAGAAAAATGTGCTTTTTCGGTTAAAATGTTCAGGTATGTAAGCCATTGTAAAATAAAAAAATGTGTTTTAAATACTTTTTTATCGTTCAGTATTATTCAGTAGTAGCACCAACTGAACAACATTCTCAGTCCCCTGATTGGCTCAACGTGTTATTATTTATATTGGATTACTTTTGTAGGAAAATGTATTTTATTTATTTTATTTCATAAAATGCTTTCACTCACTCATTTTAGAAACTTTGAAATATTGATTGTTGTTTGCAATTCTTTTGGAAGTTTCGATCATATTTTTGGGGGATTTAAAAAAAAATCAAATGCTATTTTTTTCATTGTTTACATTGAAATCGTTTTTCAAAAATACTATTTAAAATTTTTTGGGATTGGATTTTCTTTGTTTTACATTTTTTGAAAAAAGTAATGAATTATTAACTTATTTTGTATTGTAATTATTTTGGTGTGTCTCATTTAATTTGCTAAATATAATTTTCTTTTATATTGTCATTTATTTATGTGATCACTTTCATGAAAACTATTCATTTTATTGAAACGATAGCGACAATCCTCATGTACTGAACTCACACCTTGCTGCAGGAACCCCACAAATGCGAAAATGTGTTTTGTTTTGTTTTTTTTTTCACCAGGTTTAGCTGTGGGTCTGGGAATCGGGGCCTTGGCGGAGGTCGCCAAGAAGACCATGCGACATAACGACGCGGCAGGTAACACACACACACAAACACAGGCATGCTTTCTTTTTAAAATTTTCATTCCAAAATGTTCAATGTGTATTTATTTACGTCTCTTGAATGGGTGAAAGTTATCTTTGTTGATGCAGCAGAAGAAGAAGCATACCGGACATTCTTTCATGCCTGTTGTTGTTTGCAGACAGGCAGGCACACGCTGCTACTACACTCCCCAAATAAACAGACGCTCACTCTCAGCACAGTGATCCGCTTAATCACACACACACACACACACACACACACACACACACACACACACACACACACACACACACACACACACACACACACACACGTCTTTGTTGGAAATCCAGTCAGGCTACTTGCGTTAAACCCCCGTGATGTGACACTACACACCCTGTTGACCCACTGACACGTTCAGAAACACACATTATTCTTATTATTATTTTTAATTTTAAAATCCTTTTTAGACGCATTCGATTTATTGGATCCATTTTAGTGTATTTATTTATTTTGGGTGTGTCTGTGTGTGTGTTTGCAGGCGAGAATAAAAAGGCCGTGCTGGACTCGAGTCCCTTCTTGTCCGAGGCCAATGCCGAACGCATCGTCAGGACTTTGTGCAAAGTGCGAGGGGCCGCACTCAAGCTCGGCCAGATGCTCAGTATTCAAGGTGAGCGTGCAAAAATGCAAACGTGGGCTGGGTGGGGGGGGGGGCAAATAAAATGACTTGCACATTGCCAAGTTGGATTGGAAACAATTTGCTCCTGAGCTCCACCTACAGGCATGGGGTGTAATTACTTCAACAGAAGAACGACTGCTTTCATCTGTGTTCAAAACAGGACGAGGGATTCCAAAATAGCGTTTCATGCCCCTGTTAGGGTTTCAATCAAGAATTAGTCTTTCAAAGTTGGCTTGAAAGACAATGTTATGATTTCAAGGTAGGGTTTTCTACCCATTTTAAAGTTTTCATCGAGCATCTTTCTTATGCCGGCGCATAAGAAAATGTGTGAGCCATGAAAATATATCTGCTCAAAGCCTCTGCTGGCTAGAATATATCCCACCACTTGATTGCGGGACTTGCACGACGCTCTAAAGCGTTTTTTTTTTTTTTTTTTCTCATTTACACACACTCGGTGCCAACAATGAGGCACTCCAATGAGGCCACACTAGCCCAAAATCCACACAGGCCACACAGCTTGACTTGACAGTGACTGTGTCCACACAGTCACTGTCAAGTCAAGCTAAAAATAAAAAACATTAGCTTGACATGCGTGCGGGCTCAGGCTGATGAGGCGCTCTAAAAATCGGAAACAAATCTCCGGATCCACTTTACTGGGTCTCGAAAGCTGTCCACATGTCAACCACACATTGATATTTTAAATTCCTAACCAATGTTTTGCTGTTTGAATTCCAAATCCGAGCCAAGTCCGAGTGTGTACGTCCTGAGTCATTGCTGTCGAGTTCTGCTGGCGCTGCGACACGTGCGCTGTGTCATGTTACACAACAGGTGGAGGTAGGACGTGCAGGCTGTAAACAAGCCGTCAGCGAGATCCAGTTGCACTTCTCAGAGCGTCGTTCTTTTTTATTTATGTTGCTTGAAAACTGCCGACCGTGAAATGGGCCCCGCCCGCCCGTCCTTCTTTCCGTCTTCGCAGCAAACATAGAAGGTAGTAAAAGTTTATTGGACAAAAGGGAAACGTTAGATCGGGTATCAGCGCAATGCTGGTCATATGTCCCTTTAAAATGACCGCATGTCATAAATCAATGCAAATACGTTGCAAAGGCCTCGCACAAAGACAACGCAAGTCACTTCAATGTCATGGGGGGGGAAAAAATGCTGAAAGGGCGTGAGTCTATTTCTAAAGTGACAGTATGTGCCGCTTGGCTACTTTTAGGCGCTCTTGATGTTTGCTCTTCAAGGCCACACCTGCCGTCTCATCTTGATAGTGATTTGTGTTAATCTCCGGGTGTAATTAGCACGAAATGGAACAGCTTTTATGATGTCATTTAGAAATAGCACAAGACCCGCAATGACTTAACTGGGGTTGCTGTTTTCTTCGCGAGTGAGTTTTCGGGATTGATTTTGATAGGGTTTTTTTTTTCATATTTACATGAATTCATGAAGCTTTTTAGTACTGTATTCGAGTTTTGTTCATTTTTTTGTCGGATTACATTGTATTTATTTGTATTGTTTATTGTATTGCTTGTAATTATATTTACATAAATTTATTTGTTTACATTTTATATATTTTTAGTCAACATTCCTCAATGTGTTTTTGTTATAATGTATTTGTATTTTTAAATATTTTTTTAAATAATTAAATAAATGTGTTAGTGTTTTATATTAGTCTTATATATATATATATATATATATATATATATATATATATATATATATACACCCCCTAACCATGCATGGAGTCCCCCATTCAGCTCGGGTCCTCTACCAGAGGCCAGGAAGCTTGAGGGGTCTGCGCAGTATCCTTGCTGTTCCCAGCACTGCACATTTCTGGACTGAGATGTCCGATGTTGTTCCCGGGATCTGTTGCAACCACTCATCTAGTTTGGGGGTCACTGCCCCAAGTGCTCCGACCAACACAGGCACGACTGTCACCTTTACCTTCCAGGCTCTCTCCAGCTCCTCTCTGAGCCCTTGGTATTTCTCGAGTTTCTCGTGTTCCTTCTTTCTGATGTTTCCATCACTTGGGACCGCTACATCCACTACAACGGCTTTCCTCTGCCCTTTATCGATGATCACGATATCTGGTTGGTTCGCCATAACCATCTTGTCAGTCTGGATCTGGAAGTCCCA